ACATGATAATTCTCTATTTGTAAATTATTCAGTATGTATTGCCTTGGAATAAGGATACCAAAATCAGGAAATTTAACACTGAAATACCTGGAACATTTCTTTTTCAGGCACCAAACTAAATTGTTCTACATGTGGTTTGTTTGTTTGCTTGTGTTGGGGGATTAGTCTTGTCTTTAGTAGAAATCATGGAACAGTTGGCTCTATTAAATTAACTTTCAATATCTCTATAATTATCAGTTTTTAAAAAATTAATGTTGCTTTTTTTGTCTAGAATAGCAATATTGAAATATAGAAGTGATGCTTATTTCTAGTTGCTGATAAACAGATTTGCATTTTGAAGGCTTTAATTTGGGGCTTCCTTGGTGGCGTAGTGGTAAAGAATTCACCTGCCAATGTGAGAGATGCGGGTTTGATCCCTGAATTGAGAAGATCTCCTGGAGAAGGAAATGGCAATCCAGTATTCCTGCCTGGGAAATCACAGGACACAGGAGCCTGGCGGGCTGTAGTCCATGGGGTTGCAAAAGAGTTGGACACGACTTAGCGATTAAACAACAACAAAATTGTGCTTTTCTAATTTATGATGAGATCTTTAAAAGTCTTAAAGCTATACCAGCCTTTCCCCTCTATTAAACAGTCTGCAAACTCATCTAGCTATGTCTCTTATTTAAAAAAAAAGTTTTAGATTGCCTAAATTTTGCCTTTAAAAATGCAAAACTTAAAGTAGGTTACAAGTTTGCCTACATTCATATATTTGGTTATTCATGCTTACCCACATTAGTATTCTTTATATGAGATTATAAATATGGATCAGACTCATTTCACTTTATCTGCACAGTGTTCCTACAGTACTGCAATTAAGATTATATAATAATAATCCAACTGAACAACAAAGAATGTCAGAATGCTTGCAATATCATAAATACAAGACTCAGAAAGATTAAATGTAAAATATTAGAAAAATATACCATACCAATACAAAATAAAGCTGATAGTTATTTTTATATCAAATAAGGTAGCCGCCTGCATGCATGCTAAGTTGCTTCAGTTGTGTCTGACTCTTTGCCATGCCATGGACTGTAGGCCGCCAGGCTCCCCAATTCATGGAATTTTCCAGGCAAGAATACTGAAGTGGGTTGCCCTGCCTTCCTCCCAGGGATCTTCCTGACCCAGGGATCGAACCCACATCTCTTTCGTGTCCTGTATTGGCAAGTGGGTTCTTTACCACTAGTGCCAACTGCGAAGGCCCATATAAGGTACATTTTATGGCAAAAACTTGTACTTGGTATAGAAGGACATTTCACATTTATAAAAATAGTTAGGTATAACAAATCTAAATTTGTATGTCCTGTAAGTCTATTGTGTATTTTTTCTCTTAGGCTTTAGTCATGTGGTCGTATGTCAGATTATTTCTAATCAAGTGCTGGTTATTTCTGATTGAGTTATTTCTACTTCAGTATTATTTGAGCCCTAAGATATAATCTTCTGACCTTTGTTTCTAGTAGTATCTAGGCTAAAGGCACTAGCATCCCAGATCATCTCAATTCAGTCAGGAATGAGAGGCTTTGAAGCTGATCTTCACTTCATGTGAAGGATTATTTGAATCCAGGCCACTGTAACTCATAACATGTAACATTTGGGGGCTCAATTCAGCAAGCCCTATATTTCAGTTCTTGTTCTCTCAGCAGGTAGGACTTAGTTCAGTTTATTAAAAATTATTCAGCCTTTCTTCTTAAGATCAGTGAGATCAGATTCTGAAAGTAATCTTTTGGATTATAATCAACTATAGAAAGATATTTTATAAATACTGGTCTAAAACTGTTTATAACAATGAAGCAGAACAGACTTAATGAGTTTCATAACATATGACACTGAGGAACAGCGGGAACAAACCTCTGCCTCTTTGAGATAACTCTGCTGGTGTGATATTTTCAAGCATTTAAAAACGTGTGGTCTTTCAAAAAACTGGAGAGTCCTTAAAGGAGAAATAGACACAACCCTAGGAGAAGTTTTGAACATACTAATTTCAATAACAGATGAAACACATATAAACAGTATATAAACATATATACACATTCATTTTACATGCATGCACCTGATTTGAAAGTTGTTCAGTAAACTTGATCCAGTTTATATGTATTCAGTAACTTTCATGTTCATTTCATGTGTGCATGGAGCATTTACCAAAATTGCCCACAGAATTAGTCTTAGCATATTTCAAAGGATTAATCTTACAGGCTGTTCTCTGGTCCCAATGGAATTAAGCTAGTTTTCAATAGCAAGTGAAAGTGTTAGTCTCTCAGTTATGTAAGACTTTGGAACCCCTTGGACTATAGTTCACCAAGCTCCTCTGTCCATGGAGTTCTCCAGGAAAGAACAGGCCCTAAGGTGACCTTAGGAAGCATCACTATGAACAAAGCTAATGGAGGTGGTAGAATTCCAGCTGAGCTACTTCAAATTCTAAAAGATGATGCTGTGAAATGCTGCACTCAATATGCCAGCAAATTTAGAAAACTCAGCAGTGGCCACAAGACTGGAAAAGGTCTGTTTTCATTCTAATCCCAAAGAAAGGCAATGCCAAAAAATGCTCAAACTACCACACAATTGCACTCATCTCACACTAGCCAAGTAATGCTCAAAATTCTCCAAGCTTGGCTTCAACAGTACGTGAACTGAGAACTTCCAAGTGTTTAAGCTGGATTTAGAAAAGGCAGACGAACCAGAGGTCAAATTGCCAACATTTGTTGGATCGTAGAAAAAGCAAGAGAATTCCAGAAAAACATCTCCTTTGCTTTATTGACTTTGCTAAAGCCTTTGACTATGTGGAAAATTCTGAAAGAGATGGGAATACCAGACCACCTGACCTGCCTCCTGAGAAATCTGTGTGCAGGTCAGGAAGCAACAGTTAGAACCGGACATGAAGCAACGAACTGGTTCCAAATAGGAAAAGGAGTACGTCAAGGCTGTGTATTATCAACCTGCTTATTCAACTTACATGCAGAGTACATCATACGAAAAGCTGGGCTGGATGACTCACAAGCAGGAGTCAGGATTGTGGGGAGAAATATGAATAACCTCAGATATGCAGATGATCCCGCCCTTATGACAGAAAGTGAAGAGGAACTACCGAGCCTCTTGATGAAAGTGAAAGAGGAGTGTGAAAAAGCTGGCTTAAAACTCAACATTCAAAAAACTAAGATCATGGCATCCGGTCCCATCATTTCATGGCAAATAGATGGGGAAACGGTGGAAATAGTGACAGACTTTACTTTTGAGGGCTCCAAAATCACTGCAGATGGTGACTGCAGCCATGAAATTAAAAGACACTTGCTCCTTAGAGGAAAAGCTATGGCAAACCTAGATAGCACATTGAAAAGCAGAGACGTCACTTTGTCGACAAAGGTCCATATGGTCAAAGCTGTGTGTTTTCCAGTAGTCATGTATAGATGTGAGAGTTGGGCCGTAATGAAAGCTGAGCACCAAAGAATTGATGCTTTTGAACTGAGGTGTTGGAGAAGATTCTTGACAGTCCCTTGGACTGCAAGGAGATCAAACCAGTCAATCCTAAAGGAAGTCAACCCTAAATACTCATTGGGAGGACTGATGCTGAGCTGAAGCTTCAACACTTTGGTCACCTGATGCGAAGAGCCGACTCATTTGGAAAGACCTTGATGCTAGGAAGGATTGAGGGCAGGAGGAGAAGGGGGTGACAAATAGATGAAATGGTTGGATGGCATCATCGACTTAATGAACATGAGTTTGAGCAAACTCTGGGAGATAGTGAAGGACAGGGAAGCCTGGCGTGCTGCAGTGCATGGGATTACAAAGAGTCGGACACAACTGAGCAACAGCAAAAACATTGTGATAAACAAAAGTGGAGAGTAGAATGTGAGGCAAGGTTTCTTACAATAATACAAAAAATTATTAATAAAACTAGTGCATGCGTGTGTGCCAACTCACTTCACTCGTGTCTAACTCTTTGTGACCCTATGAACTGTAGCCTGCCAGGCTCCTCTCTCCGTGGAGTTCTCCCGTCCAGAATACTGGAGTGGGTAGCTCTTCTCCAGGGCATCTTCCCAATCCAGGGTTCAAACCCAGGTCTCCTGCAATGCAGGCAGATACTTTACCGTCTGAGACACCAGGGAAGCCAAAGATAGAATACACTGGTTCAAAAGGATTAAGAATGAGTAGATGTTTTGACTATTGTGAAAAGAACATAACATAGGAAATGTATGTCAAAATGTGAGCATTGACACAAACTTGGATTCTTTGTTATCACATGTATACCTCTTATTTTATTCAAATATGTCTGTTTATTCTTAACCTTAAAACTTTAATTCTTTAAACTTAAGAGATGTCTCTTAAGTTTGCCCTTTTCAGTGATATTTATCAAATCGGAAATAGACTTTCAGCCAAATCTTTTTATTTTGTAAAATTTTTGCTTACCAATTTTAAGAGTTAAACAGATACTAACTCTGTGTCTGAGAAAAATGTTGCTAATTTTATTTGATGAAATAATGTGAATAAATGTGTGAATATTCTATTTAAGGCCACTGAAATTTGCTAGAATAGTCTGGTTATGCTTTTTTGATGATTGGTTCCACTGCGAACAGTGGTTCTGGGAATAGTCAGTACGCTGCAATGCTCTGTCTAGTTTGAAATGAGAAGGAATTGGGGGAGAGGACGTGAAGCATAACACAGGACCCTGATGGAAAGTGACTTAGCTAAAACACATCTGTTCCAGGTATCAGGGACACCCATGTATCTTTTTGCTTAGTAAGTTCTGAAATTGTGTGGTTTAGGTTTTCCCTCTCATCTGTCTCCTGAAATTCCTTTATAGATATGCTTTATGAGGAGTTGTATATAATACATATTATGTATATCTTTATATATAGTATATAGGGATAATTTACTTGGCTTTTAATGTTTATAAATGTGAGAGTTTTATTTATTTATTTTTTGCCCCCACTTTATTTTAAAATGATTTTCTGCCTTTTTCCTAGGGAGCTGGTGTCTCAGTTCATGGGCATTTCCGAGTGGCTACTGAAAAGTCTGTTTTTGCAATGCCTGAAACAGCAATAGGTAAATTAAAACAAAAAACACTAAAATTTTCATAATTACTTTTAGAGTTATCATCTTTTGATACATTTCAGATTATATTATTATTGAAGGAATTGATGGAATTTTGTGTGAGCTACAGCAATGAAAGAACTTTTAAAACAAAATTGTAATCGGAAGATACCTTAAAGTTTATATTAGCTCATAGTTTTATCTGAAAATGCAAAAGCAAGCATATTTAACTGGAAAAACTAGCACACTATAGTTGATTTTATTTATTCATTCTTATTGAAGTATAGTTGATTTACAATCAACTGGCTGAGTTGTGCTGTACATATATTTAATTTTAGATAAAAAATTATTAGAGGAGATATTCTTGCATTCAGATCTATTCTCTGTTTTGAATTAACTTTATCAGGTGTGAGGTGTGGGTCAAAGGTATAAATCAAAGTTTAGGTCAAAGGTATAGGTCAAAGTTTATTATTTGCTTAGGGAGATTAAATCATTCCCACATCATTTTTTGGAAAAAGCTACTGTTTCTCCGCTGATTGCCTTTGTGCCTTTCTAAGTGCTGATCGTGGTGCCAGTGCCCTGCTGTTTTGATTACTGTTGCTTTACAGTAAGTCTTGATAATGATAATCCTCTAATTTTGTTCTTTGTGTTTTTTCCTCCCAAATTGTTTTGGCTATACAGATCATTTGTATTTCTATATGAATTTTAGAGTGATTTTGTAAGTTTCAGCAAGAAAGCCTATTAGAATTTTTATTTGGCTTGTCTAGGATCTATCAATTTAGGGAGAATTGACATCTTAACAATATTGAGTCTTCAAACTTGTGAGCAAGGTGTTTCTTTGCATTTATTTAGATCTTCTTTAATTTCTCAAAGCCAAATTTTGTAGTTTTCAATTTCTTATACATCCTTTGTCAGATTTTTCCTTAAGAATTTAATATTGTTCAGTGATATTATAAATGATATTTTAAAAATCTAGTTCTAATTGTTAGTTATGAATATATAGAAATTCACTTTTGTACTTTGTATCCTGCAAACTTGATAAATTCACTTATTAGTTCTAATAGATTTTTTGTACATTGAGTTGGATTTTCCAAATACAGATAGTTATGTTCTTTACAAATAAATTCTGTTTTACTTTTTTCTTTCCCATCTGGATAGTTTTTATTTTTTCTTGTCTAATTCTGCTGGGTAGAACCTCCAATACAGTGTTGAACAGATATGTTGAAAGTGGACCTTCAAACATTCAGTCTTCACCAATTAAGTATAATGTTAGGTATAGGTTTTTCATAGATGCCTTTTATCAGGATGAGGAACTTTCCTTCTTTTGCTTGGGAACGGATTTTAGATTTTGTCTTTTTTTTTCTGCATCTGTTCAGATGACCACTGGTTTTTCTTTTTTAGTTTTTAGTTTTTCTTTTTTAGTTTCTTGTTAATGGTGAGTTACTTGATTGTTTTTTCGACATTAAACTAACTCTTCATTGCTGGGATAAATCTCACTGTAGTATGACATGTTCTGCTTTTTATATGTTGTTGGGTTTGGTTCACTGAGGTTTTGCTTGGAATTTCTACATCTGTGTTCATGAGGGATACTGTCTGTAGTTTTCTGGAAACATGCTTGCTTCATTTTGATACAGGATAATGCTGGCTTCATTTCTTGAAAAGTTTGTGTAGAATTGGTTCTTTTTATTTTTCTCCCTCTCTGTTTGGTAGAATTCACCAGTGAAGCCATCTAGGCTTGGGGTTTCCTTTTCTAGGCCTTGGAAGGTTTTTTAGCTACAAATTCAAAATCTTTAATAGATGTAGACTTTCCAAGTTGTCTATTTCTTCTTGCACAAGATTTGGTAATTTGAGTCTTCTAAAGAGTTTGTCCATTTACTAGCATAAAGTTAATTTCCTTATTATCTTTTCAGTATCTGTAGAACCTATAGTAGTATCTGGGTCTCTCATTCTTGATATTATAATTTGTGTCTTCTGTTTTTTTCTGATCAATCTAATTAGAGGTTTGTTAATTTTATTGATCTCAAAAATTTTTTTGGGTTTTATTTATTCTCTCTTTTATTGATTTCTGCTCTGATATTTATTACTTCCTTCTACTTTAAGTTTTACCTCTTTCTCTAGTCTGCTAAGGTTAAACCTGAGCTCAGGTATAGAATTCTGTTCTGACGTTTAATGTGTTCTTCCCCTTATCGTGGTTCCTCTGTCTTTTTTTTTTTTTCTTTTTTACTTTCTCTGACTGCTCTTAAAATATTCTATTGATCATTTGATTTTGATGTACTTTTGTGTAGCTTTCTTCTTGTTTCTTATGTTTGTGTGTGTGTTTTTTAATGCTTGTGTTTATTTGTCTTGTTAGGTTTATAGTTTTTGTCAGATTTGCAAAGTTTGGCATTATTTCTTCAAATATTTTTGTGTCCCACTGTTTCCTTTTCAGGAACTCCATTTAAAAATTTTTTGGAAGACTCAAAAAAAATTTTTTTTTAGGCTCACTCATGCTTTGTTCATTTTTTAAAATTTTCTTTTTTTCACCTTGTTGATGTTCAGTTGCCAAGATACTAGCTATGCCTGTATCTTGAAGTTCACTAATCCTGTCTTTTGCAAAGTTAAAATTGCCCTTAATCCCATTTAGGTAATTTTTTTTAGCTTATACATTCATCTTAGTTTTCATCTGTAGTACCATCATGTGGGTGATTTTTTAAAATATCTTTTTTGTTTTTGCTGAACTTTTTGAATATATGGTATATGTTTATTATAACTGTTGATCTCCTTGTTTGCTAATTTTCATGTGTATATCAGTTCTGAGTCAATTTTGATTGTTTTGTCATGTCATTGTGGGTAACATCTTCCTGGTTTTAGATACCTGGTATTTCTTGATTGGATTCTAGACATTGTAAGCTTTACTTTGTTGGGTGCTGTCTACCTTTTTATAGATGATTCCTAACTTATGATGGTCTGACTTATGACTTTACAATGGTACAAAAGCAATATACATGTAGTAGAAACTGTTCTTTGAATTTTTACCTTTTCCTTGGCTGGCCATATCTGGTACCATACTCTTGTGATGCTGGGCAGTAGCAGTGAGCCATACCTCTTTGGCAGTCATCTAATCACTAAGATATATATCTGGTACTTAGAATCATTTTGTTTTTCACTTTCAGTATAATATTCAATAAATTATATGGGATATTCAATATTTTATTATAAAATAAGCCTTGTGTTAGATGATTTTGCCCAACTGTAGGCTAATGTAAGTGTTCTGAGCACATTTAAGGTAGGCTAGGCTAAGCTATGATTTTTTGATAGATTAAGTGTATTAGATGCATTTTTGACTTACGGTATTTTCAATTTATGATGGATTTATCAGAATGTAACCCACACATACAACCCCACTGTAAGTTGAGGAAAATCTGTTTTCTTGTAAATGTTCTTTACCTTGCTTCTGGGATGAGGTTAAGTTACTTGGAAATAGTTTGTTCGTCTTTTAGGTCTTTTGTTTGTTTGTTTGTTTTTAATGTAGGATTGGAGCAGTGCTCAGACTAGGGCTAATTATTTCCTACTACTGAAGAGACCCTTTTTGCATTCTGCTCTGTGCCTCCACGAATCCTGAGCTTTCCTGGTCTGGTTGGTGGGAACAGGTACTATTCTCAGCCCTGTGTGGGTTCCCAGTACTGTTCTCTGTAATCCTTCCCTGTGGTTCTTTCCTTAACCTCACAGTCTCTTCATTGAACACATGTAGTTATCAGTACCAAGCTGGGGACTTAAGGGAAATACTGCAGATCTCCAGTGTTTTCTCTCTGTGCAATTCTTTCCTCTCTGGTACTCTGTTCTGGGAATTCTTTCTGCCTCTGTCTCCCTGAATTTTTAGCTTAATTCCCCTCAAATCTAGGACTGTTTTGGGCCTGGACATTCTCTCCAGGCATTAAGATGGAGCTTTGTAGGGCTTGTTGTTGTTTAGTCTCTTTGTCATGCCCAACTCTCTGAGACCCCATGGACTATATAGCCCGCCAGGTTGCTCTGTCTGTGGATTTCCCAGGCAGGAATACTGGAGTGGGTTACCATTTCCTTCTTTACGGGATCTTCCAGACCCAGGGTCAAACCCATGTCTCCTGCATTAACAGGTGGGTTCTTTACTACTGAGCCACCAAGGAAGCTTTTAAGTAGGGTTTACCTCATTCATTTTCAGATATTCAGACATCACTTTCCTTTACTGCTTGGTGGTCCAGTATGTTGAAAACTTATTTCATATACTGCAGTTGTTTTTCTATACTTATTTCAGGTAGAAGAGTAAATTTGGTCCCTCTTACAGCACCTTACTCAAAGTGTAATTCTCCTGGATGGCTATTTTGGCGTCATTTCAGTTCAGTTCAGTCACTGAATTCTGTCTGACCCTTTGCAGCATGCCATAGATGGCAGCACGCCAGTCTTCCCTGTGCATCACCAGCTTCTGGATCTTACTCAAACTCCTGTCCATCGAGTGAGTGATGCCATCCAACCATCTCATCCTCTGTCGTCCCCTTCTCCTCCTGCCCTCAATCTTTCCCAGCATTAGGGTCTTTTTAAATGAGTCAGTTCTTCGCATCAAGTGGCCAAAGTATTGGGGTTTCAGCTTCAACTTCAGTCCTCCCAATGAATATTGAGGACTGATCTTTAGGATGGACTGGTTGGATCTCCTTGCAATCCAAGTTACTCTCAAGAACTTCTCCAACACCACAGTTCAAAAGCATCAATTCTTTGGTGTTCAGCTTTCTTCACAGTCCAACTCTCACATCCATACATGACTACTGGAAAAACCATAGCTTTGACTAGACGGACCTTTGTTGGCAAAGTAATATCTCTGCTTTTTAATATGCTGTCTAGGTTGGTCATAACATATCTTCCAAGGAACAAGCGTCTTTTAATTTCATGGCTGCAGTCACCATCTGCAGTGATCTTGGAGCCCAAGAAAATAAAGTCTCTCACTGTTTCCATTGTTTCCCATCTGTTTGCCATGAAGTGATGGGACTGGATGCTATGACCTTAGTTTTCTGAATGTTGAGTTTTAAGCCAACTTTTTCCCTCTCCTCTTTCACTTTGATCAAGAGGCTCTTTAGTTCTTCTTCACTTTCTGCCATAAGGGTGGTGTCATCTGCATATCTGAGGTTATTGATATTTCTCCTGGTAATCTTGATTCCAGCTTGTGCTTCATCCAGCCCAGTGTTTCTCATGATGTACTCTGCACACAAGTTAAATAAGCAGGGTGACAATATACAGCCTTGACCTACTCCTTTTCCTTTGGAACCAGTCTGCTGTTCCATGTCCAATTCTAGCTGCTGCTTCCTGATCTGCATACAGATTTCTCAGGAGGCAGATCAGGTGGTGTGGTATTCCCATTTCTTTCAGAATTTTCCAGTTTGTTGTGATCTGTAGTCAAAGGCTTTGGCAAAGTCAATAAAGTAGAAATAGATGTTTTTCTGGAACTCTCTTGCTTTTTCAATCATCCAGTGGATGTTGTCAATTTGATCTCTGGTTCCCCTGCTTTTTCTAAATCCAGCTTGAACATCTGGAAGTTTACAGTGCATGTACTGTTGAAGTCTGACTTGGAGATTTTTGAGCATTACTTTGCTAGTGTGTTGTAGAGTGCAGTTGTGTGGTAATTTGAGCATTTTTTTTGGCATTGCCTTTCTTTGGGATTGGAATGAAATCACACCTTTTCCAGTCCTGTGGCCACTGCCAAGTTTTCCAAATTTGCTGGTATATTGAGTGCAGCACTTTCACTGCATCATCTTTTAGGATTTGAAATAGCTCATTTGGAATTCCATCACCTCCACTAGCTTTGTTCGTAGTGATGCTTCGTAAGGCCCACTTGACTTCACATCCCAGGATGTCTGGCTCTAGATGAGTGATCCTGGTTATGTGGGTCGTGAAGATCTTTATATAGTTCTTCTGTGTATTCTTGCTACCTCTTCTATTCTGCTTCTGTTAGGTCCATACCATTTCTGTCCTTTATTGTGCCCATCTTTGCATGAAATGTTCCCTTGGTATCTCTAATTTTCTTGAAGAGATCTCTAGTCTTTCCCATTGTATTTTTTCCCTTTATTTCTTTGCATTGATCACTGAGGAAGACTTTCTTATCTCTCAATATTCTTTGAAACTCTGCCTTCAGATGGATATATCTTTCCTTTTCTTCTTTGCCTTTTGCGTCTTTTCTCAGCTTTTTGTAAGGCCTCCTCAGACAACCCTTTTGCCTTTTTGCATTTCTTTTTCTTGGAGATGATCTTGATCACTGCCTCCTGTACAAGGTCACAAACCTCCATCCATAGTTCTTTAGACACTCTATCAGATCTAATCCCTTGAATCTATTTGTTATTTCCACTGTATAATCGTTAGGGATTTGTTTTAGGTCATAACTGAATGGTCTCTTTTAGCTTAGATGATTAAAGAAGTTGTCCACAGAGGTGTCCTTAAGCTGAGATTTGAATAAAAGGAAGCAAGCAGCTATGTTAATATCTTTTAGGACAGAACACTGTGCATTAAGAAAAGTTAATCTAAAGCAAGAATGGAGCCTCACTTTATTTGTTCAAAGAACCAAATAGAGTCTACTGTCTGAATCGGGGGCAGAGTGATATACTATGCTCTTCCAGAGATACACAGGGAACTTAGGTAAAGAGTTTGGATTTAAACCTAAATATTATGGGAAACTGTGGGAGAATTTAAAGCAGAGAGTGACGTGGTCTGGTATACATTCTGATACCATTCTGACTGCTTTAAGGAAAATGGATTGTAGGGGTACAAGAGTAATGGCAGAGAGGCTTGTTAGAAGGTTATTACATTAGTCTCTGTTATATAATACTGTAGCCGCTGATCACATACGACTATTTAATTTAAATAAACTCAGTTCCTCAGTTGCACCAGCCACATTGCGAGTGTTTAATGCCCATATCTGTCTAGTGGCAGCATAGATGAGAGAACACTTTTATCATCAGAGAAGATTCTGTTGAGCAGCGCAAGTCTAGAGAGAGAGAATTTTAGGCTTGGAGTGACAAGAAGCTGTAAAGTTGGAATAGAGAGGATATATTTGGAAAATGTTTTGGAGTTAACTTGTGATGTAGTGAATCAGGACTAATTCCAAGGTGTTTAGCTAGTGCTGCTAGATGGCTGTAAGGCCACTAGAGAAGGAGCAGTGTGGTTGGAGGGATGTGACTCAAGGCTTGTGTTTGCCATGTTATATCTGGGATGCTTATTATCTGTGTGGTTAAATGCAGATATGAGAGTTCATATCCAGGGGGAAAAATCATAACTAGATAGATAGATTTGGGTCTGTATTGGGCTGCCATAGCAAAATACTAAGACTGGGTAGCTTAAACAACGTTTATTTCTCCCACTTATTCCTCGCACTAGAGGCAGGAAGTCCAACATCATAGTATTGGCAGATTTGGTTTCACCCAAGGCCTCTCTCCTAGACTTGCAGAGAGCTGCCTTCTCTCTGGGTCCCTTTCTCTTGGAGTCTTTCCTCTTCTTAAAAGACACCAGTCCTATTAGATAAGGCCCCACCCTTCAAACCTCGTTTAATCTTAGTTACTTATTTAGAATCCCCTTCTCCAAATTGTCACAGTGTGGGGATAGGACATCAGCTTAAGATTTCGGGACACAATTTGGGATACAGTTCAGTCCATCACATCGATGTTATCTAAAGCTGTCAGAGCTAAGGAAACGTGTGTAGTGGGGAGCGGATAGTCTATGATGAGGCCGAGGTACGGCAGCGTGTGCAGGCCCAAGGGAAGTGAAGCCAAGAGGGGACTGGAAGGAGGCAGCCACTGACGCAAGGGGCGAGGGAGAACGTGGGGCTCTGGAACAGATGAGAGCGCTTCAGGATAGAGGTGGTTTTGCTTGGGCAGAGTGCTCCTGAGGTTCAGGGGTAAGTGGGGATGAACACTGAGGAACAGAAAGATGACCAAAGTGCCGGGGGTATAGTGAGTGAATGGTAAGAGATGTGATTGAGAAAGTGGTAAGGGGTCTTGAAGACTGATAAAGGTGTTAGTTTTAATCTAAAAGAAATGGGCAGTCATGGAAGACTTTTAAGCAGTGGAATGCAAGACTCATCAAAATTTGTGTTATTAAGATAATTTTAAAAATTCAGTCAGACAAGAACATTAAAAAAAGGTTTATGTCATTAAAAAGATCACTGGCTGTTGTGTAGAGAACTGTCTAGAGGAGGAAGCAACAGATCATAGTTGTTGATGGAGGGTTAAGGGGTGGTACAGGAGGAGGTTTGAGTCTGGATAGTTGCACCCTTTATTGGGCTGGGTGAACGGGATGAGGGTGTTGGGGGGTGGGCAGGGGTTATGAATTCAACTTTAGACCTATGCTGTTTGAGATGTTGAGAGATATTTCTATTTACAGTAACATGCCACTGATGCTTTCAAGTCTAGGAACTTGGCAAGTAGACCTGGAAAGAATTTGAATGCTTGTATTTTTATCTCAGCTTACTTAATTGAAGTGATTTTGAAATAGATAGCTTTTAAACCTAGAGGGTCACGCTTGTTTAGGAAGCTCTTAAACACCAAAAAGTAGTATATTGACAAGGATTTGCATATCTGCTGTTCTTAGTTGTTGCCAGTAGAGAGAATAAGGGAATTTTTTTTAAAGGGAATTTTTTTAATCCTCATGATTAAGGAAAGAATAGGTGCAAATTCTGTTGATTAGGTATAAACTTGTTCATGTATTAGAACTAGTGGTTATCACGTCACTTTAAGTATCTTGAATATTAGATATTTGACTGTATAGAAATGGATTAAATGCTAATAATAATTCACCACATAATAGCCACAGATTATATTTTTCTCTGTGCTAATCATTTGGACAGGAAATATTTGTTTTCAAATATTTCAAATCCTTGGAGATTCTTAAAAAGTAGTAGTAGAGATAAGAAGTTTAGGTAAATATTTATCAAGTAGTTACATGGAAAACATTGTGTCATCAAATCCTTTATTGCCTTCTATAGAAATGAAACATGAAAAATTTGAAAAATATCCCAATTAAGTTAGCACAGTTTATAGCAAGTCTTGTGATATTGTGTTGTGTGTGTTGTGTTACAGTACCATGGTATAGTAATAATGTTTTAATATAGATTCAGACTCCAGAGAAAAATGGCTCTTTGATATAAAGAGAGCTGCAGTTATCTCTTCCATTTGAGTCATTATCTCTGTTTGTTTTTAATTACAGGGCTATTTCCTGATGTGGGTGGAGGTTATTTCTTGCCACGACTTCAAGGAAAACTTGGGTACTTCCTTGCATTAACAGGATTCAGGCTGAAAGGAAGAGATGTGTACACAGCAGGAATTGCTACACACTTTGTAGATTTTGGAAAGGTAATTACTTGGATGGCTGCACTTTGTGTTGTTGGAATAACTCATATTGCATGGGGAGGTGGTATACGTGTTTGGGATAACAGTTTAACAGTATAATAGTATAAGTGTTTGGCAAACATGGGTCTGAATCCTGCATCTGCCCTTAAAGCTGTGTGACCTTGGGGAAGGTGCTTAAGCTCTTCAATCCTCAGTTTTGTATGCAAAATGGAGATAATTATATCTAGATCCAGGGCTGTTTTGCCTGGTACCTCCAGTGAGTATCTTTTAATGAATAATTATAGTCTGTAAAAAAAAAAAAAGTAATATTTTAAGAAAGTCTAATGTATAAAAATCTGAATTTATAAAAGAAGAAGGCTGAATGCTGAAGAATTGATGCTTTTGAACTGTGGTACTGGAGAAGACTCTTGAGAGTTCCTTGGTTAGCAAGGAGATCAAACAAGTCAGTCCTAAAGGAAATCAACCCTGAATATTCATTGGAAGGACTGATGCTAAAGCTGAAGCTCCAGTACTTTGGCCACCTGATATGAAGAGCCAACTCACTGGAAAAGATCCTAATTCTGGGAAAGATTGAAGGCAGGGGGGAAGGGGGTGACAGAGGAGGAGATGGTTGGATGGCATCACCAACTCAATGGTCATGAGTTTGAACCAATTCTGATAGATAGTGAAGAACAGAGAAGTTTGGTGAGCTGCAGTCCATGGGGTTGCAAAGAGTTGGACATGACTTAGTGATTGAACGACAACAGTGGCTTTTATAAAGATATTTTTGAAAGGTTCTCCTGTTAGTTTCCCCAGTGCACTTAAAAGTTTGTAAAATATGATCTTAAAAACTCTTCTAAAAGGGTATTTGTTGTAAGGAACCCATATTACTTACCTTGGTCTTAAAAATTTTTTTTAAGCCACATGGTCAGTTTTCTTAGCACAGGATAGCATAGTGGCAAAGGATGTGCAGATGGACAGTCTGGTTTTATATCCTAGCTTGAATTTAGCCTCTTTAGCTCCAGTTTTCCCATCTCCAAAGTGAGGACAGTAGTCTTATCATAGCAGTTGAAACTCATTGTGTTAAATGTAACAGAAACCACAGTTCAAGTTGGTTTTGCCTCAGAATTCTCAGCAAGAGATTTGAGATTTATTCTTCAACTAGTTTAGCTCAGTCTGATTCAGCTGGCTTGTATAATGCCTGAATCATGTGGGTGGGTGGAATACACTGACTAATCTCTCCCAGCTCCTGGAACTGTGGGGGTAAAGTCAGCTTCCCAGGAAACTCAGGGATTTCTGATCTTGCAGGAGGAGTGTTAGGAGATAGCAGAGGGAATGTTATTAAAATGTATGAATGTATACGAAGTTGAAGGTTGTCCCTGTAACGCTGACATGAGGGCCTTTCATCACATTTGCCTGAGTTTTCAGATCTTTATGGGCATCTTCGGTCGCATTGAGTAGGTGGCTGTCTTATTCTTCCCCGAGCTATAACAGGGCGCAAACAGGGGCACTCCATTATCTACTCTGGAGGGACACTCTTGATTATAGTGGAATTTGGTTAAGGCTGGTGGGGAGAACTGAACCACAACCCTTCCTTTTTTTTGTCAGTCTGCCCAGTAGTATCTGCAGTGCATCGGCTGCCATTTACAGGGCCTGCAGCAGATAACAGAAATGAGTAACACACATTGGGAATGAAGCTAGAGGTAAAAAAGATAAAAAACCACCTGTATCACCTGACAGAGTAGAGTATGATAAGTCTGCAAACAGAACACAAAGAAAGGATTCAATGGACTGAAAGGAGGAAGAGCTTACTTATAAAAAAGGACTGAAAGTTTTCTCATAGAGGTTGCAGTTCAACTTGAATCTTAACAGGCCAACTGGGCCTTAAGTCAGGAGAGGGTTTTCTGGATAGAGGAAGCTTTAATGAGCAAGCCCATAGCGGTAGGAAAGCATTAGCTTTGTTTTAGAAACAGTAAAAAGTCCATTTGGCTGAGCTTAGGAATAGGTATGTGAGGGATATAGATGGAGAGCTGTTGGAAGATGGAGGGAACAAAAAGTACCCACCAAACTGTGATACTGACAGTATCTTGAGACCAAAACACTGAGGCAAGTGTCTCTGTATAATCATTGGGTCAGTTTATCATAGGATAACGTACACTCAGGGTGGGATCGGGTGGATGGGGATCTCGCAGCATTCACAGCTGAGGGGCCAGTGGGACGGTTTTATAGTTGACCTTTGGATATGGGGGTGTGTGCTTGGAAACAGGACATGCATTCCTAAATCAGGATTTATGAATGGTTAATTCATTTCTGGGCTTCCCTGGTGGCTTAGATGATAAAGAATCTGCCTGCCATGCAGGAGAAACAGGTTCTATCCTTGGGTTAGAAAGATCCCTTGGAGCAGGAAATGGCTACCCACTCTAGTATTCTTGCCTGGGGAATTCCATGGTTGGCTTCCCAGGTGGTGCTAGTGGTAAAGAACCTGCCTGCCATTGAAGGGGATTTAAGACGTGGGTTTGATCGCTGGCTTGGGAAGATCCCTTGGAGGAGGGCATGGCAACCCACTCCAGTATTCTTGCGTGGAGAATTCTATGGACAGAAGAGCCTGGCGGGCTACAGTCCATAGGGTCGCAAAGAGTCAGACACGACTAGAGCAACTTAGCACACACATGAGTTCCATGGCATCTCTTGGGCACTGGGAGTATGTTAGCGAGAGTCTTCATCATCGTCTGGGGACTTAACAGACCTTGGAGACCACCTGGCCTTAATGATTATTAAGACATCATTTAATGATGTCTGTTAACTACAGAGCACTTGATAGAGAAGGGGTTATTGCCCAGCACAGCCCTGGTAGGGTCGGTGGGAGAACAGAAGAAAGTGTATGGGCGCAAGATGGCATCAGTTATGTTAACAGCTGTTCAAGAGTTAAGTGTGGCTGTATTATAGAGCTGTGCATTGACTCCAGTAACCATTAGTCACATGTGGCAGTTTTTAATTAAAATCGATTAAAGTAAAATTTATAGTAAGATCTTTGGTTGCAGTAGCACATTTCGAGTGCTCAATAGCCAGAGGGAAACAAAGATGATTGTCTCTATTTCTCCTCTTCAGTTTTTTTCATCTTCATCCATTCCTTGCAAGGCAGCATTTGCTTTGTGGGAATGTGTGTGCCTTCAACCTAAGTGAAAATTGCCTTCATTGACTCAGCTGAAAAGAGAGTGTCATAATTTTAAGACAAGGATTTTTATTAAAGAATAAGATTTCTTTTAAGAAAAATTGTGTTTCTATGGGTTTTTAAATGTTTTCCTTTCTTTCCACCTGTAGTTGGGCGTGTTAGAAGAAGATTTGTTAGCCCTGAAATCTCCTTCAAAAGAAAATATTACAGATGTCTTAGAAACTTACCATGCAAAGGTAATCTTGTCAGTATTCTAACCTCAGATTTTAACTCATGGGAAAGGGGGAGTGACTGAAAAATTAGAAGTTGATGAATATTATAGTTTGTGAATATAAATAAACACACTGGGATTCATTTATGTTAAAACCTGATGGGAGTGTCAGTGTTTCACAATTGTTAGGACAGCCATCTGAGAAGATGACTTTTTACCTGCAGCTACATGGCTTGTTTTCTCATTGCTGGTGAATTTCAGGGCATAGCCTCGTGACTGGCCCTTGCAAGGGCTTTTTACAACACACTGTGACTTTTCTATAATGTAGGTTCAATGTAGATGCTACTTGTGGAGCTGCTAAAGTGACACTCTGGTATATGTCTGAATATAATAATGAAGTACATTGCAGTGTTTTCTTTTAATTGCTTATGTAGCCTACCTTATGTTTTCTTTTGAGCACTGAGAATCTATAAAGATGCTACATGACTTCTAGTTAAAAATGATATCAATCGATTGAATATATGCTCTCTCCTGAACCCCACTAAAATTATATAAAAGAATAGAAAAGGCAGGAATCCACAAAGAGAAGCAGAACAGAAGAGGAGACAGTGGCAGGTATGAGATGTCACTATTTTGGAAGCTTGAAAGTGGAAGGATGAGGGCAGCTACTTATCCTTCAATGGGGGAAGCCAATAAGCAAACCAGTTCTTGCTCTGGACTCTTTGTAGGTACCAAGGCCTCTGACAGGGCCTCGCTGGCTAAGGGCAGGGCAGATGTTCTACTGAAAAGGTGCAGAACGTATTAAATGGGAAGAATGCTGGCCTCTTTTCCTGGTTGGCTCCTAGAATTCTTACATACCATCTATCTAGTTTGGGCAGCCATAACAAAAATGCTGTAGACCTGTGGCTTAAACAACAGAAGTTTCTCATGGTTTTGGAGGTTGGTAAGTCCACGATCAAGGTGCCAGCTGATTAGGTTCCTGGTGAAGGCCCTCTTCCTGTTCTGCAGATGAATGCCTTCCTGCTATATCCTCACACAGCAGAGAAAGTAAGCTCTCTCAGGGCTCTGCGTATAAGGGCACTAATCCCATCCTGAGGGTTCCATCCTCTTGACTTAGTTACCTCCCATAGGCCTCACCCCCCACATACCATCACATTGGAGTTAGGGTTTCAATGTGAATTTTGTGGGGACACAAACATTTAGTCCATAGCGCCATTCCACTCCCAAGCAGTTCATTAGAAGGAAAAGAAAATGTGTATCTATTGACACTCCAGGACCCCGCTAATGAAAGAAACATTCGGGCCTTTGTGTGATCACCTCATAATGTATACATAGTTGACAGTTCTGTAATTGCAATTGACATTACAAAGCCTCTAAATTTTAGTACTTCGCACAGAAAAACAAGGACTGTCAGGCATTAAAAACCAGAGATTGGCCAAAAAAGGTACTTGAAGGGAGTAGACAGTGCAAGGAAAAGGAAACTAAACAATTATAGATTTGGCTGTGTTTTTTTTTTTTAATCTTCAGATAGGAGGAAAATATTTTATCTGTGAAATAACAGCTGTTACTAAGAGAAATAGTTAAAGAATAAAAAAGATATTTAAAATATGACAGTGAAAGGGAGAAGAAAAACCCACAATAGATTAGACTAAAATTGGTGGATGAGGAAAACTCTAAGAGGATAATAAGATGAAAAATGAAGAGAAAGGCAAATTATTCCAGGAGGTCCAACATCTTAACTGTCAGGAATTTGTAATAGAGGATAGGAAATATTTAGAGAAATAGTTCCCCCTCACCCTAACATTACCTAGAACTGAAAAACATGTGTAGAGATTCATGGGCCTTGAATACTTGGTGCTGTGAATATGAATGCAAGCATGTGAGGGTTTCATCAGAGTTTGTCAAAGCATTTGACAGTCTCTTATGTTGCCAAGTTGGATAAATGTGGGATGGATTATAGTGTGTGGAGGTTGGAGGGCCTTATCAGAGAGTTCTGATAAGTGTGTGGTTGTTGGTCTGTAAGTAAAGTCATTTTGGCCTTATTCAGTGGTTTTTTTTTTCAGTTATTTGGATAAGAATGTTGATGGCATTTTGATCAGATTGATTTGAAACTAAGAAAATAAGTTGGGTAAACATGTGGGCAAAAAAAAAAAAACACTTAAAGTTCAGAGTAACATGTTTAATAGTAAAAATATGAAATTTGATCGATATATGGGGAAACATTCCATGTGTTTCCTTTATTCTCTCACTACTACCATGTTCACAACATGTCTGACGCCAGACATGTTTGTTTTCCACATATTAGGCAGTTCTCCACAACACCAGCTGGGTGTCTTGTGACTCATTTCAGTGCTAACACTGCCTACCTGAGGTTACCATCAGATCACACAGCTCACGGGTCCGGTCCCACAAGATGGACCGTCCTTTAGACTCCAGGTTGTCACCTGTACTTCTCACTGACTGGCAGTAAACCGGGGTTCTCATGATCCCCTCCTTGGCTTTGCTAATTTGCTAGAATGACTCATAGAACTCAGGGACACACATAGCATTTATTGGTTTATTATAAAGGATACGATGAAGGATATGAATGCACCGCTCAATGAACAGATACACTGGGTGAGGTCCAGAAGGGCCCAAGCCCAGGAGCTCCGTCTCCATGAAGTTGGGGTGAACCACTCTCCCTGCATGTTTATCACCTTGGAAGCTTTCCAGACCCCATCCTTTGGAGTTTTTACAGAGGCTTCATTACATAGGGACAGTTGGTTAAATCATTGCCCATTGGTGATCAAACTCAATTTCCAGCCCCTTTCCCTTCACTGGAGGTGGAGGAGGGGGAGGTGTGGGAGAATGTGGACAGTGAGGGATGAGACTCAAAAGTTCCCTTGGTTGGTTCCCCTGGGACCTGGGGGCTTTCCTCAGGAACATAAACAAAGGTATGATTGAAAAGGGCTTGTTGTGAATAACAGAAGACACCCGTTTCATGAGGACAAAAGACCAAATATTATAACAAAAGATGCTCCACTTATGGATTTCCATGGGTTTTTGGGAACTGTGAGCCTGGAATAAATGGCCAAATATATGGGTGAAGACCAGCTACATATTTTTTATTTTAAATCACAATGTCACAATAGAGTTAATTGAATTTCAGTCCAGGGTACCCAATTCATAAGTACAGGATGGGAGAAATGTAGCCTACAATGGCACCAGTTTAAAAAAAGTCTTAACTGTTCAGTTGAAACCAGAAGCGTAATAAGACTGCGCCCAAACTAAGCCAGAGCTGTTGCAGGAAGGGGGACCCCTTCCAGGCCTGACAGTGGGCTTTTATCTAACACTCAGAAATGCATTACTGAGGAGACACACGGGCTGACAAAGCAAGAGATTTTACTGGCAAGGGGTGCCCTGATGGAGAGCAGGAGGGTAAAAGAGCCCAGAACTGCCCTGCCCCATGGCTTGCAGTCTCAGGTTTTATGGTATGGGACTAGTTTCTGGGTTGTCTTTGGTCAGTCAGTCTGATTCAAAGTCCTTCCTGGTGGTCTACACATTGCTCAGCCAAGGTGGATGCCAGTGAGAAGGATTCTGGGAGATGGTAGGACACGTGGCATCTCCTTTTGATCTTTTCTGAATGCTTCTGGTTGGTAGTAAATTGTTAGTTCTGTGTTCCTTACTAGGACCTCCTGTCCTGAAACATCTCACGCAGATGGTACTGTGGTGCCTGGCCAGGGTGGGTAGTTTCAGTTAGTGTGCTTCCCCCAACAGTTAGTCCTGTTGTATAGAGCATTGTTTCCAAAACAAGCAGGGGTCTGCAGATCCTTGTGCTGTGCTATGATTCAGCCACGCCTGCAGCTAAGGTACTGTACCACACTCCTGGAGAATGAACTTCATAAACCCCTTAGTACGTAAGGTGGCTCTGGATTGTAAGGGGACTCAAAACTGCACTGTGCAAGAAGAGATTAACTCAGGGGGATTAACTAGAACTATAAACAGGAGAGGGTGGGTTTTTGGTCCAGAATTTTCTTTTTAATCCTAATTATAGTTTTTCACGCACTCATGAGTTCTTTTCTGAGGTAGTGTTTTTCCCCTGGAGGTCAATGCTGTGGGGACATCAGAGATGTGGTGGGAATTTCTGTATCAGAAATTGGGGCAGGATGACTTCTCAGGTCCCTTGCAATCCTTAAATTCACTGACACACTTTGATGATGACATCATCATGTACAATGCCTACAAATAAAAATACAAAAACAGTTTTTTTTTGCTGTTGATACTTTTATCAAGTGCTAGTCTGGAATAATACATAGTCTGACTTTTGAACATACAGTGGTAGTTATTTATGAGGTTGGATGTAATTTTGACTGAAAGTTATAATTTCCCTCAAAATATATCATTAAATATGGTGAACATTTTAAAGGTTTACAAAAATTTGTATTACTTCAAATTAATTAAAGGTTTTCTTTTCAAACAGTCAAAGATTGGTCAAGACAAGCCTTTTGTACTTGAGGAACACATGGACAAAATAAACAGGTACTTAAAGAGAGATCTCAATTATATCTGTTCCTTTGGAAAGACTATATTAAATTGAATTTACTGACACTGTAATTGTGCTGTTTGACAGTGCACTGAATTCTGAGATAAGATAACATAGTGTTTGAAAGTGGCTTCCTGCCCACTCTTTCAGGGGAAAATAAATTAATTATATTTAAATAATCTGTCATGCTGTTTCATTTTATCACAAAACATCTTTCTTTTTCTTTAATGGGGAAGAGAGGCTGGAAAATAACAATTAACTTGTCTTTTATCTTTGTGAAGTCATCTTCTCTGAAGGTCATATCAAGCTGGTCAGCAAAAAGTTTTGTGCAGTGTTTGAGAGACTGACAGATTGACTGAAACATAGGGGGAGGGAAAAAACCACTGGGATGTAAGGCAACCAGCTTTATACTTTAGAAGCATCAGTTTTTTTTTAATAGTTCAGATGTCATTTATGTCTATATAGTAGATTCAAGAAAGCAGAAGAGAAAATTTAGGCTTTATTCATATTAGTGAAGGTAGATTGCAAACACATACCCAGAGAGGCAGTATTTTATTTCATCATCCTATAGTATAGGTTGAAAATTTTTTTCATTTTTGAAATAAAGTTTAAGGGAAATCTATGTTTAGATTCATTGCTATCATGGAAAGAAGAAATAGCTTGCATATTATTGAAGTCATATGTTTCCTTTTTTTAATAGTTGGTTCTCAGCTAATACTGTGGAACAGATTGTTGACAATTTACAGCAGGACGGTTCATCTTTTGCCCTCGAGCAACTGAAGGTAATAAATAGATTGTTTCTGCCTGGAGTGTGGTGAATTCTTGTGATAGAGCAGCCTCTGAGAGGTGTCAGAGCTCTGTGGTGTGGACATAGCCCACTGCACAGTGTTTTTTCTGAACTCCCTTAAGCATCACAAAGTGGTTCCACAAAACCTTTACCCAAACTCAAGTGCCTTGTCTACCCACTGGATATTGACAGCAAAGCTAAGCTGTTTTTAGGTTCTTTGAATGGAACAGAGAAGGACTTCATAAGCATGCTTCATCTCCAGTAGTCCTTTTTGTCTTGAGGGAGAAATGTTCAGGGACATTTTTATTAGAAGGGTTGGATTGATGGACAACAGTCACCTTATAATTTATTGCAATTGTGACATTAAAATGTAAGTTATATTAAACTTGCAACATGTCAGGATATGGTCTTTTTAGCAGAAAGTTTAATAAGAAAGTGATCCCTTTTAAACTAGCAAGAGGCTCCATCTTCAGCCATAGCTGAGTGCTTAGTGGTGTTCCCCAGTGTTAGCACACTTTGGTCTTTCTTCAACATGACTCATCTTGTGACAGCAGAAGAAAGCTGTTTCTGTGTAAATGAGTGCACACTGGACACTGACATTTGTGGAGCCATCATGTGACTGTTAAATTTATTTTAGACTTCTAGACAAAGTGAAGAAAAAGTATGTTTCCTTATCCTGAAAAGACAAGGTGGCTTCTCATTATCTGATAGTATTTTTCAATTTATAGGTATAGCATTTCAGTTGTCAGATAACTTACTGACAGAAGTTTAAGTTAAGTCTTACCTGTAAAGATGAAAACATTTCCTCATTCTTGAGGGTATGTTAATTTGTCTCTTAGGATCTTATTTAGTATGGGGATTTTATTAACTTTTAAAGTGAAAGTGAAGTTGCTCAGTCATGTGAGACTCTTTGTGACCCCATGGACTATAGTCCACCAGGCTCCTCCATCCATGGGATTCTCCAGGCCAGAATACTGGAGTGGGTTGCCTTTCCCTTCTCCAGGGGATCTTCCCAACCCAGGGGTTGAACCCAGGTCTCCCACATTACAGGTGGATATTTTACCAGCTGAACCACAAGGGAAGCTCCAAACAGCCATATGTTTCCCTAATTCACAAAAGTAATGTTACCATTAACAACTCTCAGGAATGTTTGCATAAATGTTGGTAATCATTTTCTATTTCAAGGATTCTGACTTGGAAGTTGATTCTCTTGATTTCAGAGCAACACAGAAACCAGCATTCCTGGCCCTGCCTCCCCCGCTCCCACCCCCAATAGTGTTAAGTATGCACTCGGCAGTTTCATTTGAAAGTAGTCATGGGGCAGCATATTATCTCATAGGCTATATAGTACCACTTTAAGGCAGTACAGAAAAGCAACTAGCCGTATTGTTTTAAAACCACTGGCCTACCCCAAAACTGAGGGGTGGAACTCTGATCAGTTTTCCTCCCATTCCTCTGGCAGCATGTTTATTCTGCATTCAGAGGAGGCTACTTGGCAAATCACCTATCACAGCTAGGATCAGCACTGAGCACTCTCACTGGAAGGACCGATGTTCATTTTTATTCAGTTGACCTGCCCTGGTGAATGAATGTGGCTCCACATATTAGTATCTGGTGGGCATAACATGATATGGGGATCAAAAGTTCACGCTGAGGCTTCCCTGACAGAGTTTAGATATAGGGCTCCTTTTAATTATGTCAGCCGGAACACACACCAGAAAACAACCCCGAAGGAGGAGATAGTTGTTAGTGCTTCAGTGACAGGGTTGCCGATCATGTGTTTGAACAAATTTTAAAGAAGATTCTAACTCTTGTCAGTAAACCTCAAGGATTGCTCCTAACCCTGTGGGCTTTTCAGGGATTCCTGTCTGTCTTCTGCAAGCCCTAGTGATCTAGGCTGTGCTGATGCTGGAAGTTGCAAACATCTGCTCTGTCTTAGGGGTTCTTTTCTCTCCTGGATTGTCCATGAGGAAGGACAGAATTCTTTTCAACATTCTTGTTTATCATTAAGTAACATAAGGTTTTTCTTTAATCCTTTCTTTAGATTTTTAACTACTAATCACTGTTGGGCTTCCCTGTGGCTCAGCTGGTAAAGAATCCACCTGCAATGCAGGAGACCTGGGTTCACTCCCTGGGTTGGGAAGATCCTCTGGAGAAGGGAAAGGCTACCCACTCCAGTATTCTGGCCTGGAGAATTCCATGGACTGTATAGTCCATGGGGTTGCAAAGAGTCAGACACGACTGAGCAACTTTCACTTTCACTATAGGATAACATATGGGCTTAAAAAATGATTTAGGGAAGTGGTAAATTCTTTACAACTGATGGAATTTTCATTGTACCTTATTTTATGGCTTCTAATGTGCTTTCTTAGATTTTCCTCTTAAGTTCCAGTATACCATTTTTCATTATTTAAATAATGCTTAAGGTTGGAATTCATTTAAAACTCCTGTCCTTCTTATGGAGTATGTTGTTCATGGTGCCAAGAATTTATTTGGCTGTGTCGGGTCTTGGTTGTGACATGCGGGATCCTTACTGCATCATGTGAGGTTTTTGTTGTGGCCTCTCTGGGTGTGCTTCACGGGCTCTAGAGTTCACGGGCTCAGTAATTGCAGCATAAGGACCTAGTTACTCCACAGTATATGGGATCCTAGTTCCCCCACCAGGGGTTGAACCGGTGACCCCTGCATTGCAAGGCAGATTCCCTGGATTGCCAGGGAAGTCCCTTCTGAACCACTTTTAAGTGTACAGTTTAGCATTGTTAAGTATATTCACGTTGTTGTGCTGCCAATCTCCGGAATATTTTCAGCTTGCAAAACTGAAACATTATACCCATTAAACCATAACTCCTCATGTCCCTCTCCTCCCAGCCCCTGGCAACAACTATTCTATTTTCCTTTTCTGTGAATTTGACTACACTGGACACCTTACATAAGTGGAATCATACAGCATTTTTTCCTACTGTGACTAGTTTACTTCACTTACCATGATGAGATACCAAGGTTCATCCATGTTGTAGCTGGTACCAGAATTTCATTCCTTTTTAAGGCTTAATAATATTCTATTGTATGTTTATGCCACATTTTGTTTATCCATCCATCTGGAAGCATTTGGGTTGCTTCTGCCTTTTAGCTTTTGTGAATAATGCTGCTGTGAACATGGGTGTACAAATATCTGCTTTTAATTCTTTGAGTACACACCCAGGAGTAGAATTGCTGCATCACATGGTAGTTCTATTTTCAATGTGTTGAGGACCTCTGTACTCCTCCCCATAGCAGGTGCACCACAGACAACAGTACACAGAGGTTTCCATTCTTCTGCATCCTTGCCAACGCTTGTTATTTTGTCTTTCTTTTTTTTCTCATAACCGTCCTAATGACTGGGCTGTGATACATCATTGTGGTTTTTATTTGCGTTTCCCTAGTGGTTGGTGATATGGAACATCTTTTCCTATGCATATTGACCATTTGTATTTTCTTTGGAGAAATGTTTAAGTTCTTTGGTCATTTTTAAATTAGCTGTTGGTTTTCTTGGTGTTCAGTTGTAGGTTGTGCTCTCCTGTTTCAGTCTCCCTTTTCTGTTAATGAGACATGCAGGCTTGCCAAAGTAAAGAAGGTTCTTGGGGGCCAATCAGAGAAGTATTTCTTTTCCAGGATTACAAGTGATGTCAGTAATCAAAGGAATCATAAGTAGGAGAGCTTGAGACTACCTGCCTCACCTCAATTCTCAGCAAGAACACTAAGCCTTAGGAGCACTGAGGAATGAGGTTCACGGCCAAGAGAGGCAGAGAAGCAAGAGCAGAGAGCAGTGAGTCAGATTAGAGCCCAGGAAGGTGGTCTGAGCAAATGACCAGGGAATCCAGTGTTGCTTTGGACTTGTCCTCTAGGTGTTTTCTTGTTACTAATGTAGGACAGCCTGCTGTGTTAAAGGCTTAGAGAGAGGGCATGTACGTTCCTTTGCCAGTACTAGAAAATTTATTAGAGTCTTAGGTATTTCTTCTCTCTAATCACCAATGTGAGATTTATGTGTGTTTTTATTTTACAATGCTCATTTCACGAAGAATAAAATGAAACTGTTTTTACTTGAAGAAGTTAACATACACCAATATGACAAGCCTCTTTAAAGAATTCGTGCCCTGAAAAATTGGAGGAAAAATAGGAAAACTGAGAACATTAACCAGGGCATAGATTTTAAGAAAGAGTAGTAGCAAAGTATTAAAAAGAGAAACTTAAAAGATTACTAGTCTTTCTGTAAGCTTTGAGAATTACCTGTACACTGTACTATTTAAGAATAAAGTGACCTGTATTCAGAAAATTTGCTACAGGAATTGTTCTTCTGCTGTAAACAACTAGAGAACTGGACAAAATGTATGAAACAAGTATTTATAAACATTGGACAAAGCAGGCAGCACGTGTGATTCCTGAGAGAAGGGAAACAAACAAGAGAGCCCTAAGACTGACTCAGCTTTCTTCTTGGAGGAATTTCCAGGATATTGATCTGTAAACGTTATGGGTAAAACTCCACAAGACCAGGGAAAGAGTCACAGGAAAACAATAGTTTGAATAGTTAGCAAGGCTCACACAGGTCTGGGAAGTGTTCACATTGCCATGAGCCAGAAGGTTTACACTTGAGCAGTGGGGATAAATTAATACTAGAGTGAAACTTGCTCTGAACTCCCAGGATAACTTAGTGGGGAGAAGAAAGCCTTTTCAACAGATGGCTCTGAAACAAGTGGCTATCCATATGCAAGAAAAAAACGGTTATTGGCTCTTATTTTGCCCTTGTAGGGAGGAAAAATTTCTCCATCCTCTTAGGTTCTCTGGCTGGTCTAGGAACCACACTGACATAAGACAGATCAATGGGAAAAGATTTTATTAAATTTTTACATGTACATGGATGTATGTACAAGAGAATGAAGACCTGAGGGATGACCAGAGCAGGAAGCTTTCATACCTTTTAGATAAAAAAGACAATGCATTTGTGAAGAATTGACAAGACAAAGAACTTTTGGTTAGGAGTAGTACATGGTGAAGAAGTAAGCAAGGCTTATTTGTTCAGATTTATTGGCCCCAGTGGAGAAGGAAATGGCAACCCACTCCAGTATTCATGCCTGGAGAATCCCATGGACAGAAGTGCCTGATGGGCTACAGTCCATGGGGTCTCAGAGTCAGATATGACTGAGCGAATTAGCACGCACGCATTGGCCCCAAATTCCCTGTTTCTGGTGATCAGGATGTCTTCCTTCCTCCTGGCACAGGGAGGGTACCTTTCACATGAGGGTTGCATCTCCTGCTTTCAGGAAGAAAAGGAGGGTCAAAGTGCCCTTCTTATACCTATTGTTTCCCAAATGCCTTTAACTCAATAATCAGTATGCCAAGGTAGCATATCTTGAGGTAACATGCTTTGAGGTCCTTCACACCCAGATGCAGTTTAAAATGGATTACAAACCTAAATGTAAGCACTAAAACTGTACCACTCTAAAGGAAAGCATAGAAGAAAATCTTGGTGACTTTGGGTTAGATAAGATTATCTTTTAATGTGAAAAGCTGGAACTGCAAAAGAAAAAAAAGTTGATAAATCTTTATTTAAAGTCAAACACTTTTCCTCTTTGAAAGACACTATCAGGAAAATGAAGCAGCACTTTGGGAGGAAATATTTGTAAGACATGTATCTGATAACAAGACTTAAATCCACCATATGTGAAGAACTCTTATGACATAAGAATGTAAACACAACTAAAAATGGGAAATGTGGACATTTCACCAAAGAAGATATGCAAATGGCTAGGAAGCACATGAAAAAATGCTCGGCATCTTTATTATTATTATTGTTATTAAAAAAATATATCTGTGCCAGGTTTTAGTTTTGGCTTGATGGATTTTTAGTTTCCTGACCAGGGATTGAACCCAGGCCCCCTGCAATGGGAGCATGGAACCTTAGCCACTGAAGCACGAGGGTAGTCCCTCAAGATCTTTAATCTTTAGGAATATGCAGATTCAAGCCATGATGAGATGCTGCTGAGCATCTATTAGAATGGCTAAGATTTAAAAGGTTGATAGCACCAACACTTGGTGTTGGTAAAGATGTGGAGCACTTATATCTCATATTTCTGGCAGGAAAGCAGTTTGGCAGTTTCTTATGGAGTTAAATGTACACTTACTGGAAAAATCCAACAATCCTGCTTCTAAGGATTTACCAAAGAAAAATATAAACATATGTCTACACAGGTGCTTGTACTTACATGTTCATAGTAACTTTGTTGCCCCAAACTGGAAACAATCCAATCCCTGGCAGTGTTGAATGAGTAAACAGATTGTGATAAATTCATACAGTGGAATATTATACTCAACTATAAGAAGGGATGAGTTGGTACATTAAAAGCTTGGATGAATTTCAGAAGCATTATGCCAAGTGAAAGAAGGCAAACACAGAGGATTACTTAATGTATGATTGTATTTTTATGAAATTCTAGAAAAGCCAGAACTGTAGGCACAGAAAACTGTTCTGTGATAGAATTGAGGGAAGTAGAACTCTTTGGGGTGATGGAAATGTTCTATATCTTTATTGTGGAGGTAGTTGTACAACTTTATACCTCAAAATTTGTAGACCTAAATTCACTTAAAATGAGTGAATTTTATCATATGTAAATTATACTTCAGTAAAACTAATTATTTAAAAAATAAAATGATATGCCAAATTGTGTTTTAAAGTTTGTGCTATAGAAGTGGGCATTAAATTTGCTGCAGTTTGCTTTTTCTAGGACATTTGAGGTTATTTGTAGTCTTTACTGTTAGAAATAATGCTGCTGTGAACAATTTGGTCTATGTCTTCTGGTAACAAAGATATGCATTTCTGTATACACCTAGGAGTAGTTCTGCAAAATCACATGTGTTGTTAAAAGATACACTGAGGGATATTAAAAATTTTAAGAGTTTATTTGAGCAAAAATTGATCCAAATGGGCAAAGTCTTTTGTGGAAAGGAGGTGGAAGCAAAGCTTATTTGATTGGCTGTAGCTTAAGCAGTAGCTTTATTTGGGAAAGCCTAAATTGGTTGTTTATGATTGGTTGTCCTTAAATTTAGATTTTTTTTTAAAGTTTAGATTTTTAAACTTGAGGCATTATAGCCTTAGATTTTGGTTTGCTTACAGGCTACTAAAGCATTAAGAGCACTTCAGTTGGATGGCCTCTGTTTAATTTAACAGTATGTACATTTATGTTGGTTACTGTCAAGAAGTTTTCTAATATGGTTGTACCAATTTACCTTGCATAGTAAGTTGCTCCACATTCTCACCAATACTTGAGATTACTTGTCTTTTTCATTTTAGTCACTTTGATATATGTAAAATAGCATTGCATAGTGGTTTTAATTTGCATTTCCCATGATGACTAATAAGGTTGAGTATCAATTCATACCTTTATTGATTGTGTGGTATCCTTTCTTGTGAAGTGTCTATTAAATCTTTTATTATTACTGTTAATCTGTAGGAGTTATTTCTATGGATGTGGATGTTTCTATCCATATTAAGTTCTTTATCCAGTACATAAGCTACATATATCTTCCTCCTATCTGTTACTTGCCTTTTTTCTCTCTTAATGGTGGCATTTATTTCTATTCAAAATGTGTGAAGAAGGTATCCTGAAGATTTGGGGCAGACCCATAAATGGGAGATTTCATTAAAGACTCTTTACATTAATCGACCATAATGTAGACAGGAGTTTGTTATTTGGGGGTTTTGATATCTGTTGTTTTAACTATGTTATTATTCTTACTAACTTCTTAAAAAGTGATTGGATATATTATTTTAGATTTTTCTTTAAAAAATTAAAAATCCAACTGTATACAGTGTCTCTAATTAGTATTCCTTACTTTTTATTTTCTAAGTGTCATTTCCCCTTGTAGAAAACTTTACTTCTACTCAAAATGGTTTCTATATTTTTTCAAATAATTTGTTTTGACCTGTTTAGCACTGATTTATTTCTCTTGTGCCTTGCAAGTATTTTAAAATATCTGCTATTCAAATTAAATGATTAACTAATTTCTATTGTATGAACAAATGATATATTCTTCTTCTCTGACCTCTGTAATTTGAAAACTACATTGAATACTTCTTAAGTGAATACTGCCTGTGACTTGGAGAAGGTAATGGCAACCCACTCCAATACTCTTGCCTGGAAAATCCCATGGAAGGAGGAGCCTTGTAGGCTGCAGTCCATGGGATCGCACAGAGTCGGACACGACTGAAGCGACTTAGCAGCAGCAGCAGCAGCAACCTGTGACTTACTGAAGCTTTTCTCCATGGCATTTTTAACAGCTCAAAGAAAGTTTTTATTTTTTAATATTTTTTAAATTAATTAATTTATTTTTAAGCTATTTTTTCTTTTGTATAGTTATTGACTCATTGGAAAATACCCTGATGCTGGGAGGGATTGGGGGCAGGAGGAGAAGGGGACGACAGAGGATGAGATGGCTGGATGGCATCACCGACTCGATGGGCATGAGTTTGAGTAAATTCTGGGAGTTGGTGATGGACAGGGAGGCCTGGCGTGCTGCGATTCATGGGGTCGCAAAGAGTCAGACATGACTGAGCGACTGAACTGAACTGAACTGAAGCTATTTTTTTCTTTTGTATAGTTATTTATTTATTATTTATTATTTTTGGCCGTGCTGGGTCTTCGTTGCCATGGGGCTTTGCTCTGGTCGCGGCAAACAGGGACTGCTCTTCGTTGTGGTGCATGGGCTTCTCACTGCGGTGCCTGTTCTTGTTGGAGAACGTGGGCTTAGGGTGCACGGGCTTCCTTAGTTGCTGCTCATGGGCTCAGTAGTTGTGGCTTCCGGCGTCTACAGCAGAGGCTCAGCTTTTGTGGCAAACAGACTTAGTTGCTCCGCCGCCATGGGAGCTTCCCGGATCAGGGATCAACCGTGTGTCTCCTGCATTGGCAGGCAGATTCTTTTCTTTTTTTTCATTTATTTTTATTAGTTGGAGGCTAATTACTTTACAACATTGTAGTGGTTTTTGTCATACATTGACATGAATCAGCCATGGATTTACAAGTATTCCCCATCCCAATCCCCCCTCCCACCTCCCTCTTCACCTGATTCCTCTGGGTCTTCCCAGTGCACCAGGCCCGCGCACTTGGCTCATGCATCCAGCCTGGGCTGGGGCAGGCAGATTCTTTAGCGCTGAGCCTCTAGGGAGGCCCCAAAGACTTTAAAATAGTGACTTTGGTTTTTTAATGGAAGGATTAGAAAGTTCATCTCATAGTATGCTAATAGATTGGGAATATTCTGTAGTCTTTCATCAGAAGAGAGCAGGATTATATGCATTTATATTTTTTCCTATACCTTTATGTATTCTTTTGAGTTAGGTGAAGAATAAGCCAATTTGTTGCCTTTAATTAGCTTCTTAAGCTCTCAGTTCCTGTTCGTTGTCTTTACCCTCTATTTAATGTCAGTATCAGCTCTACTTTTAATGCATTTTTAAAGAGTAAAATGATCTAAATTTACTTGAATTTCTGTTAGTGTTCCTTCTTTCGAGATTAAATCTGACAGAATTTAAACTTTAGAGAACGTTTTACGTATTTTTTTTTTTTAATAAAGAAAAAATGATCTTTGTGGTACTGGACTAAAAACTTTTGTTTGGTGCTTTGCCAGGATTAGGCTAAGGCATAATCTTACTTTTGTGAGATTTTGTTGTATGAAGGTATTGTTAAGGAGCAAATTTTAATGTGATTTGTATCAAAACTCGGCTAGTTCATTATTAAAAAGTAAAGGGAGTATTGGGCTAAAGCTAGTAAAAAAAATTCTTTTTTTTCTTTAATAGGTAATTAATAAAATGTCTCCAACTTCGCTAAAGATCACACTAAGGCAACTCATGGAGGGGTCGTCAAAGACCTTGCCGGAAGTATTAACTATGGAATATCGGCTGAGTCAAGCTTGTGTGGTAAGAATTTTTCTTTATTTTCACTTTCTAGTTATGAAAGACATATATGTTCATTATAGAACGTGATAAATATAGAAAATTTATAAACAAGAAAATTGAAACTGTCTGTAAACCTACTCTGTGAAAATACAGTGGGCCAGTTAGCTTAAGGTGTGTGGAAATACTAGATTATTAAGCCTTTATGAAATAGCAGTTACATTTGCATGTAACTGTAAGAAGGACTCTGACCTCTTGAAATTCAAATAGAAATTATAACCATTTTCAGAAATTATATGCCATTTTCAGGCACAGGCAAGAAGCATACATTTTCTAAATCTAAATATATATAAAATGGACAAAGGGAAGTTATTAGTCAGTTACATGTTTCAGTTAATAGACTAGCATTAAAATACCATATGGATACACTTTAAATAGGCAATATCACATAGAATATTATTGATTTCATGAAATATTTCAGTCATAGTGATTTCTTCTTCCAGATAAATTCTTGTAAAGCAAAATTATCTTTTGTGTTATGTGTAGAGAACCTTTGCATTAATAAACTCATTGCCTAAAGGAAATATTATGTTTAATATCTAGAAAGCAGATATACCTAATGGACTTCCATGTCTTGGAATATTATTGTGAAGATACTCAAAATAGTTCATACAGTCATAAATTAAGCTCTATTAGTCATATCTTGAGGTTACTCCATAGGATGTAAATTGCAGTGAGGTCTTTTATTATGAGTCAGTACTATGCTTAGTACTTTATATGCATCCTCTCCATTAAATATTACACTGTCTCTAGAAAGCAGGTATGATTATTGTTTCCACTTTTCAGCTGAGGAAACAGTGGCGTAGAAAAGTACCCTGCCTAAGGTGATGCAGCTGTTCAGTGGCACAGACATGGCAGGTGAAGCCAGGTGGGCAGAGTCTTGACGACCACCCGGGACACCTCGCCCAGTCCCTGTTTTTCACGTTTAGTGCACTGACTGGATGGGTTGACTCCTTCCTTCCTTCATTTTCCCAGCAAATACATTAGCCAAATGCCAGGCACTGTGCTGCGTATTATGCTGTTGTATGTCCTTGTTCTCATGTACTTTATAGCTTCCTGAGACTATAAAGAACAAATAAAATAAGTAAAATAATTACCAATTGTGGTAAGTGCTCTAAAGGAGACATACAAGGTTGGTGATAGAGTGATGTGGGGAAAAGAGGGAATAAGTAGAGATAAGTAGGTCCAGGAAAACATTTTGAGATTGTTAGCTCACCTGTGACCTGAAGGGTGAGACATGAGCATGTTGAAAAGCCTTGTGGGTTTCAGCAGGGAGTGGTTTGGTTTGATTTGTTTCAAGAAGGTAATTATTCCTGCTGAGCGATGATGGGGTTGGAGGGGTTTCAGAGTGGGGGTGAAGATCAGATATGAGTTTACTGCAGTAATCCAGGTGCAGAATAGGAGTGGCTTAGACTCAAGTGGTGGCAGTGGTGAGGAATAAGTGGATTTGAGATAGATGTAGGGGATAGATTTGGTGATGGACAGGGAGGCCTGGTGTGCTGCGATTCATGGGGTCGCAAAGAGTCGGACATGACTGAGCGACTGAACTGAACTGAAGGAGATAGATAGGCCTTGATGGAAAGGACAGAACGCATTTAGGAGCTGGAGTTTACAGGTGTGGGTTAGAAATTTAAGTCTGAAAGACAGCACCAGTTTAAAAACAAATAAGACTTTGGAGATTTACTTATTTACTTAACAAGAGTGCTTATTGCCATGTGCTCGGCATAAATACATAGGTGAACAAAACAGACATATCCCTCCTCTCATGGAGCTTACTTTACAGTGGGGCGGATAAACTATAAATAGATAAATTTGTTAAATATGTAGTATATTATTATAAATACTAAGGAGAAAAAGTAAATTGGGAAGAAGGGTATGGAATAAGGAGGATAGAAGTTGAACTTGTAGATAGGATGACCAGAGAAGACCTCACTGAGATGATGTTCTTTGCGTGAAAACCTGAAAGAAGTGTGGTAGTGAGTCATGCACATATCTGGAGGGCACCTAAGTACAAAGCTCTGAGGGGAGTGAGGGGTGGCCTTCCTGTTCTAGGAAATGCAGGTAGGCCTTGTGGATTGAGAGGAGCAGGGTGGGCGGTGGGTGCGAGAGGAAAGTCAGAGCTGACAGGGTAGGGAACGGCTGTGCAGAGCATATATGGCCTTGGAGGTCTTTTTAAGACTTTTTAAGATTGCTGCAGGGGTGCCCTAATTCTCATGGCCTGCAACCAGAAAGGCAGGAACGTGGAGTACGATTGCTATCATGGCTTTTATGGGATCATGTCCATACAGCACTGAGGGCAGAAGAATGAGTTCCTGTGAAGCTGAAGTTAAATTCATAGAAGACTTAATTGATTCTCCTTTTCACTTCACTTCAACATGTGGCTTAGGTGGGGTAGTAATCTTCCCTGAACATGTACTGTGCAGTAGTCATCTGTTTTAGCTCTGGCCAACTGCTTGCTTTTGTTCTGAGTAAAATGGGAAGGCACCGGATATGCCTTTGAGCAGTGGAGGGCCAGAATCTTATATTTTAACAGAATTGATTACTTAGGCACTGCTGTGTTGAGTTTAGAGTGGATAAGATCATATCCTGATTCTGGGAAAGACTGAAGGTCAAAGGAGAAGGGGGAAGCAGAGGATGAGATGGTTAAATGGCATCATTGACTTGATGGACATGAATTTGAGCCAACTCCAGGAGAGAGTGGAGGACAGAGGAGCCTGGAGTGCTGCAGTCCATGGGGTCACAGAGTCGGACATGACTTAGTGACTGAATGAGCACAGCAAGATCATATAGACCGAAAGTGAGCAGTGGAAGAGGAGGACAGAGGTGGGAGGACCAGGAGAGCGTGGTGTCGTGAAAGCCGGAGAGGAGCGCTCCAAGGAGGAGGAGTGCTGCGAAGCCTCTAGTAGACAAGAATAAAGACATACTGTGCAATGGCAACACTGAAGTGACAGGTGATTTTGGCAAGCCATTTCAGGGGTGTGTTGAGGCAAAAGTTACAGTGTAGTAAGTTGGAGAGGGGAGGGGAAATGAGTAAATGGGATGTGAAGAAGCTAAGACTGTGTTCATAACCTTTTCTTCTTGAAAGAGAAACAGGGTAGAAGCTGAGACTGTGAAATCAAGTGAGATTCCTTTTTTATTTTGTAAGGTGGAAGTTACTAAAACATGTTTGTAAATGATTGGGAATGATCCAACAGGGGAAAAGGATTATGTTGATGCTACTAGTAATAGTTAACATTTACTGAGCACTTACTGTCTGTCAGATGTTGTGTTGGGATATTGATTAAAATAATCTTAGGATGGAGGTATTGATATTATCATTTCATATAAGGAAACTGGGAAGTAGAGAAATTACTGGCCCAGGGTCATGTAGCTACCAGGAGATGAGCCCAGATATTTGAAGTGCATGCATTTAACCACTGGGTTATACTGTGTACACTGACCATGCCAGGAAAAGAGAGAGAAAGACCTCCTCAGGCATAGCCCTCAAGAGGAGGGCAGATGAATGGGAAGGCAGGGAGGACTGGCCTTTGGCAGGGGAGAGTCCCTTCTTGCCTTGGTTGGGAATCGGAAGGCATGGTGCAGATGGCTGTAGTTGGACTGTAGGTGTTTTGATAGTGGGAATAAGAGAATGTTCATGTCTTAGGGCTTCTCTCTCTCTCTTTTTAAAAAATAAAGGTTAAGTCATTAGCTGAGAATCTAGTGTAGGAGGTTAAATCATTAGTTGAGAATCTAGTGTAGAGAGGAGAACTTGCCTAGGGGTAGAGGTTGAGAGGATGAAGACAGTGGAAGTCATATTCAGCGGTGGGAAAGAGAGCATAGATTGTGATGCAGTTTTCTGTGCCTTTTGAGATGTGTGATCATGAATTTTACGAAGCCAGTCACAGCTGTATGGTTCTTCTGCAGTGAGATTTAGCTGTGTGAACACAGGCAGAGATAAATGGTAGGGTTTAGCTGGTGCTGAGATTTTGGCAGGATAGAATAAATGGGAGAAAAAGGCTTGAGGGAGATGAGTGCATTTTCAAGAAAATAATGACTGCATTAAATAACTGGGGAAACCGGGCTGGATGAAGAGCAAAGTGAAGCCAGAACAAATGGTGAGAAAGTCATAGGTCACTGGAGCTCAGTAAGATTGGCGGTTTGAAGCAGTGGAGATACTTGGCAAATAAGAATAGGAGGAGGTGATCAGAGGTGGTCCAGTCTCTGAATGTTGTGGCTCAGGGTGTGGCCACGAGACTGGGGATTAAAGGGGGTGGAAGAGCAGGGCTCATCAGGAAGGAGGATGCCCAGAAATTCCTCACTGAATCTTGATTTTCTTTCAGAAAGGCCATGACTTTGGTGAAGGCGTTAGGGCAGGTAAGTGACACTTGTTTCCTTCCTGGCTATTATAGAAATAGGATTTTGGGGCATATATTGTCTTAAAAAGACAGTTGTTTTATTAGTTAAAATCAAACTTTTATACAGATTGAAAAAATTTTTTAATATTACCAATATGAGGGAAGATCAATCTTTGAAACCAAAATTGTTTTAAAAATTCCAGTAGCCTTGTCACTAACTCCCTAATTTCTATGAGAAGTAATCCTGCTCCCAGCAGTCTCACGGACTACATCTGCTAAGAGCAGTGTGGGTTTATCAACTCTTCTGCAGCTGCAGCCTCTGAAAGGTGCCTTTGTTCTCTTGCAAAAGGCCCCGAAGCCCCTGTTCTTTTGTACTGCCTGGGGAAACCCCAGCCATGTTGAGCCCTGCCATCTACCACTTTGCCTGTACCTAGCAGCTCAACATTTCCTTGAGAAAAACTGCATGATGTAGTTAGCAGCATCTGCAAATGGTATTAATTCCTATTTTGCTTGTCATCTTCAGTCAGAATATTAAGAAGAAGCAAGCAATTGATTTTTGTTCTAGCAAATTTGCAATCATTTTTTTATGTATGAGCTCATATCCCTATAAATAATAGCTGTCATTATGTTATGTCATTTATGTTGTATAAAATGAGTTCTTTCCCTCTGCATGTATTTTACATATCTACGTTTCTTGTGTTTTTATTTATCACTTTAATATAGTACAGACTCTGGATATACTCTATCTGAATAAAAGGTTATATTCTCTGAGTGGTAAGCTTCAGTAAACACTGGTCACTCTGGTAGAATTCTCTTCATTTCTGGCATGATATAGTATAAGAAATAAAAAGTCCTTTTAGGGAACACATAGAGCTGAGTCAGCAGAGATGGTTGTATGTTTTATAGAAAACATACATTCCTCCCATTGATTCCCTGCAGACTCTTGCTGCGTGTGGATTAGAGCTTAGACCTCTGTTGTGAGGAGGACCTGTGTGCTACTTGGTTATGCTGCTAAAGTATTCAGTGTGTGTTAATAGAAGCCCTTCTTCACTTAAAAAAGAAAGGTATTTTTAGATATACCGTTAGATATTTTAAGGAAAAAGGACTGAAACCAAGGGACATCAAAGTTCTAATTCACAGGGCAGGGGCTTATCAAGCTACTTTTTAATGAAGACTAAGTATGCAGCCTCATCTTTCAGCATAACCTCTTTATTCAGAAAGCAGTATCTATTCTGAGTAAAACTGTTAAAATGTTCTTGCATAACCAAATGTTTGCTACAATTTGCTAATTATAAAGTATGTTAGCAAATTAATTAAACTACCAAATTAGAGGAATGGTTGTCAGAAATGCTCTTAACATCTAGAATAAACTTCTTCCTTTAGAACTTACAGAAAAGAATTGTAAAAGGATTAACTCAGATTTGCTGGAGAGTTACCAACTGGAGTTTTGAGTGGGTACCTCATGAAACCTTCCGAAAAACCTGAGTTTCCTACATGGCACGAATGTTTTACCTTGCTGGATTAAAAATGTTGTTAGTTTGAAATTAAGTAACCTTGAAGATTTGATTAATATTCTCTTTCCTTTTGTCCTTCAGTAGACTGTTCAGAAGGTATATAGTATTGACTTGAGTGCTTAAAAGAGATTCTTGTAGAATGTTCCAGGATTGTTTTTATTTACTCTGTCCAGGGAATGTAAAATTTTCAAATTGGCTGGGATCATAGCATCAGTGTTCAGTATCACCACTGATCGGATACTGGAATCCTGTAGTCAGGCGGCCAAACCTTGGAACCCTCCAGTATCCACCTTTAATTATGCATAAATCCCCCTTCCCTCTATCTCCTGAGGCAACTTGCTGCCTTTGATTCCCAGATTGCTTCTTTAATTATTTAGCCTTTTAGTGATAAACTCATTTTTTAATGCGTTGGCCGGTTGGCCTTGTATGTTTAAATATTTTCATTCCTCACAAAAATTATGCACATTCTAAGTATGGTTGAAATTCCCTACCACAGCCATACAAAGTATAGCCTCATTCTCTTTCTTGAATTTTTTTGAGATAACTGTAGTTTACATGTAGTTGTGAGAAACATGGAGAGGTCCTCCATACCCTCCACCCAGTCTCCCAAATGGTAACATTTGTGTAACTGTAGTATGTGATCACAACCAGGAAACTGACATTTTCCTCCCTTTTAGAAGGAGGTTATGGATTGCTTCATACCTAAAATCCTGTGGGGATACTGTGTGGCTATGCTAAGTGATGACTACACTTGAAATAAGAGAAGTAGAGCTTCTCATGATAACCTGAGGTGGTCTGGTGTTTTAATTCAGTGTGAGCTAGATGATTCAGCAAAACAGTAGGGTGCATATTAATTATGTATAAAGTCTCTTTCCCTGTACCTTAAGTAATTTTCCTCAGTTCAGTGTAGAGGTTAGAAGACATATCTGGGCCCTCCACCCTCCCCTGCCTTCCATTCAAACCACACCAACTCTAGCTTTATACAGCAGAGATTTCATTTATGATTTTATTAGAAAAAGTTTGAAGGCTTAAATCACTGGATTAGTTCAGTAGGCTGTGTTCAAGTTAGAAGCATTAGGCTTAGCATGTTAGGTCATCATCCAGATTCTGTGGGGACTTAATTTAAGGGGGGTAGGGGAAGGAACACATACAAAAATTTCAACTTTGCAGAAAAAGATGTGCTATAGAAAAATATGCCTAGTCCAAGGTAGTTTGTGTCAGTTCAGTAATTAATATCTGGTAATACCAGGAAAAAAAAATTAACATTTCTTATGTCTCTACTTGACAGTTTTAATAGATAAAGACCACAGTCCAAAGTGGAAACCAGCTGACCTAAAAGAAGTTACTGATGAAGATTTGAATGATTACTTCAAATCTCTGGGAAGTAATGATTTGATATTTTGAAATGATTGGATTTTTAAAATATTATTTTGGAGCAGAGGTTGCCAAACCATAGCACATGGGCCAAAGCCAAGCTGCTTCCTGTTTTCTTATGTATTGCTCAGCTAAAAATGGTTTTTGCCGTTTTAAATTTGGGAGAAAAGAAATCAAAGACAAGTATGGCATGTCATGTGAAAATTACATGAAATTCAAATATCATTATCTATAAATAAAACTTCATTGGAACATGGTTTTACTTATCTGTTTATTTATCTATGGCTGCTTTGAGTAGTTGTAGTAGAGATTGTAAGGCCTGCAAAGCCTAAAATATTTACTTATCGGGTCCTTTTCACAAGAAGTTTGCCAACCTCTATTTTAAAAGATGGAAAAATTTGAAGGTCTTTAGCCATTCCTGAGTTAGTATATCTAACTGAAATGGGAATTTTATGTTTTGGCTCTGGAAATTGGTTTTTAATGTTCAGTTTAGTCATCCAGTTGTGTCTGACTCTTTGCAAGCCCATGGACTGCAGCACGCTAGGCCTCCCTGTCCATCACCAACTCCTGGAGTTTACCCAAATTCATGTCCATTGAGTCGGTGATGCCGTCCAACCATCTCATCCTCTATCGTCCTCTTCTCCTCCTGCCCCCAATTCCGCCCAGCATCAGGGTCTTTTCCAGTGAGTCAACTCTTCGCATGAGGTGGCCAAAGTATTGGAGTTTCAGCTTCAGCATCAGTCCTTCCAATGAACACCCAGGACTGATCTCCTTTAGGATGGACTGGTTGGATCTCCTTGCTGTCCAAGGGACTCTCAAGGGTCTTCTCCAACACCACAGTTCAAAAGCATGAATTCTCCAGCGCTCAGCTTTCTTTATAGTCCAACTCTCACATCCATACATGACTACTGGAAAAACCATAGCCTTGACTAGACAGACCTTTGTTGGTAAAGTAATGTCTCTGCTTTTTAATATGCTATGTTGGTCATAACTTTCCTTCCAAGGAGTAAGCTTTTAATGTTAAGTTTAATGTTAAGTAAACTTATATGTAGGTTATAAAATGTTTTTTGGATACTTTGTTAACACTTCATAGAATTTCATAGTATAAAAATCTATTTTATTTTTCCATTTATTTTTATTAGTTAAAAATCTATTTTAAAGAATTCTGAGTTACTGTAGCTGAAGTGTTCCTTTTATAACATTAGAAATCTCAAGCAGAGAGGAAAAGGTTATTATGAGATTGTCTCTTCATTATTAACTCAGCCTTGGCCTTCCCTGAAGTTAATCAGAATCCCTTCCTATGGTGATAAAAGCATTATTTATTGTTGCTTGCAATATTTGCTAATCTGGCAGAATGAGACATTAGAAAATTCTTATCTCTTAAGATAGATACTCTGCAATTTACATCAGACTTTGGTGTGATAACAGTAATCTGTCCTTACAGTAGTTCAGATCAGGAGAAAAAACTTGAAAACCCTCTGGTTTTCTGGTTTCAAGAAAATACTTGAAACCCTTTTGTTCTATGAAATACCTTCAGTAATTGCTACTGTTGACAAAATAAGTTTAAGGTACACAACTGTCAAAGCTAAGGTTTTTCCAGTAGTCATGTATGGATGTGAGAGTTGGACCATAAAGAAGGCTGAGCACCAAACTGATGCTTTCGATCTGTGGCACTGGAAAAGACTCTTGAGAGTCCCTTGGACAGTAAGGAAATCAAAACAGTCAATCTAAAGGAAATCAACCCTGAATATTCATTGGGAGGACTGATGCTGAAGCTAAAGCTGCAGTACTTTGGCCACCTGTTGTGAAGAGCCAGCTTATATGAAAAGACCCTGATGCTCGGAAAGACTGACCACAGGAGGAGAAGGGGCGATGGAGGGTGCGATGGTCAGACGGCATCACTGACTCAGTCGTCTTGAGTTTGAGAAAACTCCAGGTGGTGAAGGACAGGGAAGCCTGGCATGCTGCAGTCCATGGGGTCACAAAGAATTGGACATGACTGAGTGAACAACAACACAATTGTGAATGTCCTAGACTTGGAACATTAATGTCCAGCTAAGAATCATTTTTAAAGATCAGCTTATAATTTATAACTTGATTCAGTTTTTCCTTCATTCCAAACCCCTCAGAACTAAGAGAACTTTACTTTTGAAAACTGAAAAGCAGGCAGAACTGAAAATGACAAAGATTATATCTAGCACTCTTTTCATAGATGAGGAAATTGCAGTCCAGAAGGATTTGCTTTACATTTTCTGTTCTCAATATATTTAACATGAATCATCCCTCCCCTCCCCCAAAATTAGGAGCATATTTGGAAAAAAGATGCCATAGTAATGAATGAACATGTTTACATTTATATTCTTTGTTTGTTTTGGCTGCCCTCCACTGCATGAGGGCTTCCCTGACCAGGGATCAAACCCATGCCCTCTGCAGTTGAAGCATGGATTCTTAGCCACTGGACCACAAGGGAAGTCCTACGTTTATATTTTTAAAGCTCCTAAATGTGGATGCAAATGATCTAAGAAAATATTTTGTATAAATGGATTTTTATTTTCTTTGTATTTGCTAGAAATGCAGAAAATGTTAAGTCCTTTATGTTAAAAAATTTGAAATCACACAATGGGAAAAAGCAGTTGCTTGCATCAATGAAATAAGAACTCATAACTAGTTAATTGCAACTGGACTTTTATTGTACAGTTAGGGAAAGTGTTTTCACAAAAATACTTGGAAAAAATATACCATTTCATAGGTAGGTCTTACAGTGAAGAGAATTTGCTAACAAATATCATTTTAAGACGTAGGGAGCACGTCTGAGCTCGTGCCCACTGCTCCAGGGAAGACATGTCCAGTTTGGTCACAAAGATACAGGATGAGGGCATTATGATTAATCAAGCCATTTATTTGTTAGAGCTTTGTTTTTAAATTACTGTTCCTTGATATTATAATTTGTCTCTTAACCTCTTGATTTCTAAAACTATATAATTACAAAAGTATAGTTCCCCTATCTCATAAAATGCCAACGATACTGAGTGGGCTATGCGCGTGTCATGTTACTTGATTCACTCAGCATGTCTCTCTTTGATACTAATAAGGCAGTCTGACACAAATGATTCCTTTGGGACTAAGATCACTTTTTATCCCCTTCAAAATTGTGCTTTAAGTGCTAATAAGCACAGGTAGTTTGCAAAGAACTGATAAGGCAACAGAAAGTGGAGAGGTCTCGGATCAAAGGCCTGTGAAGGAAAGGTGATAACTAGCACTGAAGAGACCCTGCCTTGGGAAGGCAGCGGTGGAAGCACATCTGCGGGGGGTGGGGGGTGGGGGGGTGGGGGTGGGTTTTAAGTGAGGAGCTGGCACCTCTTCTCGGCTCATCTGCTGCTTCCACAGCTGCCCCTGCAGGTACTCCGTCACCGGCTGGCACTCATCGCCCCCTCCGCTGGATGTTCTTGAGGTAAAAGAATGAATGGTTTCGCACGTGTCATGTGGTAACCAATGGAGTGTGGGGGGGGTCTTGCCCTCACATGGCAACACTGGAAGCTTGTTTTTAGAGCCTGATGAGAATGTTGTTTCTTGGTCCCTCTTTTCCCCACTATCCTTTCCCTTATATTCTGGTCACTATTCTTATTTCTTCGTGTTCGTGATCTAAGTTGGAACAGATGTTTTCAATTCCAGTAGCTAATAATTCTTTCAGTCTTGCTTTATTAATGTATGTCTCCTTCTAAAACAGCCTTTCTAACTTTGTTCATGAAAGACCTTCAAATGGAGGAAATCTGATCTTTAAATATGAAGGCAGGTTAGAAGTTGAATTATCCTGTCAAAGATGTTCTCATTTATGTTGCCATCACACCAGACTATAACTTGATAACAGTCATATGCAGTACATTTGATTCAGCTGTTTCCTGCCTGCCCCCAACATGGTTTATCCACTAACTCACTGATTATACAAGCTTTAAGTCTCTGTGTCACAAGCTACTATAACTCTGTTAAAATGAGTTGGGAGCAAGGGGGTGGTGCCCAGTGACAAAGCCATAGTATCAGAGAGGGTGGCAACAGAGATTAGGCTTCTAGTTAGATTACGACCTGGCAGACATCCTTGTATTACTCCCCTAGGAAGTAAAGGTCTAGGGCAAAGGGGGAACCTGAGGTTTAAATATTTAGATGTAATCTAAGCCTACTAGTCTATATCCCTATGTATGCTGAAAAATCTAGTGTAATGCACTTTCATATGGCTTTGTGTTCTCACCATAATATGTATTATCTTATATACTTACATCTTTTAAACAGCAGTGACCTTGTAGTGAAAGTATATGATGTGAGATATAAAATGAATGAAAAATGACAACATCTAGGCTTTTGTCTGAGTCATTAGTATAAACACTCATAAAACTAAATTTTTCTTCATGAGCTAGAAATATGTTTTGCACATTTGGGAAACTTTCTATTCTTAGCCTTGTGACTTCAGATCTTTGTATGAACAGGGTGGTGGTTTTTGTAAAGTTGCTAGATTATAAGTACAGCAATACAGTACAAACCCTGGGAGTAGGTGAAGGTTAAATGACCAGCTGCACAAATGCAACTGAAAGATGACAGACCTGTCACTTCGAAGAATTTTCTTTACCCATTTACCGTGGAGAATTTAGTCTGTTTGACTGTGGGCTTCAGAGTATAATGCTAAAATTAGAGGTGGCAATTCTGCCTGCTCATAAGGTCATATACATTTATGTCATTAGAGGTCACAAGCTTTTTTCTGCCTTTCTTCACTTTTGATTATAAGGGTCTACCGTATCTTAGTAAAAGTATCTTATAATGTATCAGTTTTCTTGCAAGCTAATGTCTTCTCAGTATCTTCTTTCTGCTTTCCTGAATTTTCTGTCACTATCTTAAACTAATTATCTTTTCAGAAAACTTCCCCAAAAAGCCAAATTTATGAAAATAGTATCATATATGGCTGTAAATGCCCCCATGGGCTTTTTTACCAGTAAAAATATATATGTGAGTATTCCCTTTAGAGGAGTATTTGATCTTTTGTAATAACTGCACATCTCATGCATAATCCAAATAGTAATCTGAAGGGTGCCTGTCCATGTACCAGTCCCTTGTGCCTGTGAGACAGTAACACTTAACACACGTGTGGCGCTGAGATCAGGCTCTTCTTCCCACCTTGTCAGCTAGGGCTTCTGTTACTTTATAGTTCTCTGGATTGCTGTTTATAAAAGCTAGGCATGCTGGTTTTCTTGTATAGTAATATCACTGGGCTACCTAATTCAATGTAGTAAACATTGTCATGACTTCTATAACTTGTATCTTGTTAAGATGCTTATATGCAGTCTGAATCATCCAATAACAGCTGTGATTAGTTACGGCCCTGACCAACTATCCAGGTGATAGGTATGCTTTTCATCTACATAAGTAATGATTTAATTAAGGACAAGGTTCATGGTGGACCTCTTCCACATGGGTTGCTTTCTTATGTTTGACCATCTGTGTTAAGGAGGGATCCAAACATTGACCCAAAAGGTTTTGACAAACAAAACCCATCGTTAACCACTCTGACTTCAGTGCCATTCCCTTACCCAGGCATTTCAAGAAAAATCTTTTCGTACCATGTGGTTTTTGTTTAAACTGACAGTTATTTTAAAGAAATGTCTTTAAAATAACCAGTTGTAAACCCAAGATGCTTTTAAAATTCTTATTTCTTTGGTGATGGCATTACTGCCTCTGGAAGGAAGTGGCACACAGCTGATTGATTCCTGTGGCTCCAGAGGACTTACATTTAAACCTTTAGTGACTAAAATCCAAGACCACGCAGAGAGAAACTGCTGTTAATGTAGAACTGCTTAAAATACTTCATTTTAGGTATTAGACTCTTGAATCTATTGTAATATTTTTCTTTACACCCAGATGGAGTTATTTGTATTTATTCACACCAGTTTCTGCTATTGTTTCATGTATCTAAACTAGCACCAACTTGATCCACAGTTCAAGAAAGTGTTGTCATCTTACACATAGAATCAAGGCCCTTCACTCTCAATATATGGGATGTCATAGTACTTGAGGTTGTTGCCTGCCCACTGCTGCAAGGCATCACTCAAGATTTCCTGGGACAGGTGCTGTGCAAATTCGAAGACCACAATTTGAGGCCCTGGGGGTCCCTCCACTTCCTCTTTGACGCTAACTAGAGAAGGTCTCCTGGGTAGAAATTTCTCTTCAGGCACAAAGTTTTCTTCACTCACACGCCTCTTCTCACTCTCAAGTGTGGTGGGAAATGGGAAAGTTTGCTTTGATTTCATGCAGCCCATGTTATGAAGAGCTCTGACTGAGTGAAGGAAAGCAGTGGCAAAGACTACTTCAATAGCATCTTTGGAAAACACCAAGCATTGTCCACTTGATACCGACCAGTGTTTTTCCTCTCCAGGACACTTCAGAAATCAATATTCCCTTTCACCAGTCTTCACATGTAGTGTTTTATCTGTCAAGAGAAGGTAAATTTCATTTTGAAGTCATACAGTGCAAATACTGCCCAATTCGGTAGCAAGTAGAAACAAATCTTTACCACTTTACTAAGGTATCAACAGCTTTGTCTTACCAATAGAAAAGATAATCATTCAAAACTGGCAATTAAGAAATGGGAAAACATTTTTTCAAGATCATGAAAATTTTATAAAACTGAAAACAGTCAAACTGTTGTTACCTTAGATTTTTTTTTTATGTACACCAGGGTTCAGCAAATGATATATAGCCTTTGGTTGTAGTACACTGCAGGGACAAAAACACTGGTGGCTCTAGTACTGGGGAAAACTCATTGGTATGAGCTCCTTTGGCCAGGTAAGATGCTGAGAAAGATTGAAGGCAGGAGGAGAAGGGGACAACAGAGGATGAGATGTTTGGATGGCATCACCGACTCAATGGCCATGAGTTTCAGCAAACTCCAGAAGATAGTGAAGGACAGGGAAGCCTGAAATGCTGCAGTCCATGGGGTGGCAAAGAGTTGGACACGACTGAGTGACTGAAGAACAACAGGGAGCTCTTCTGGAGGTGGCCATAGAGAGAAGTGAAGTCACTCAGTCATGCCTGACTCTTTGCAACCCAATGAACTGTAGCCTGCCAGGCTCCTCTGTCCATGGGATTTTCCAGGCAAGAATACTGGAGTGGGTTGCCATCTCCTTCTCCAGGGGATTGTCCCAACCCAGGGATCGAACCTAGGTCTCCTGCAGACAGACTCCTTCCTGGCTGAGCCACGAGGGAAGTTTAGAGGTGGCCATTTTCTCCCCCAAACCTGGCCCCACCCATGACCCTATAGGCTCCAGTACTGGGAACCCTCAAAGCAAACAACCAACAGGGTGGGAACACAGACCCACCCATCAGCAGACAGGCTGCCTAAAGTCTTCATGAACCCATAACTGCCAGCTAAACACACCCCTTGAAATAGCCCTGCCCACCAATGGACAGGAACTAGTCCCTCCCACCAGGAAGCCTGCACAAGCTCTTACACCGGCCTCATGCACCAGGAGGCAGACAGCAGGAGCAAGAGGAATTACAGCCCTGCAGCTTGTGAAATGGAAAGGGCAGTCACAGAAAGTCAGACACAATGAAGATGGCAGAGGAATACGTCCCAGACAATGAACAAGATAAAAGCCCTAAACAACCACCAAGGGAAGTGAAGCTAGGTAGTCTACCCCCAAATAAGGAATTCAGAGTAATGACAGTAAAGATGACCCAAAGTCTCCGGAAAAGAATGGAGGCACAGTACAAAAAATACATACATGTTTAGTAAAGAGCTAGAAGTCTAAAGAGGTGAACAATGACAATAACTGAAAATACATGAGAATAAATCATCAGAATAAATGGGCAGAAAAATGGATAAGTGTGAGTTGGAAGACAGAATGGTGGGAATCAAAGACATAAAATACTAAAACAAGGGAAAAGCAACAAATAATATACAAGGCAATTCCCATAAAGTTTTTCAGCAGAAACTCTGCAAGCCAGAAGGGTATGATAGATTTACAGTGATGAAAGGGAAGAACCTTCAACCAAGAATATTCTACCCAGAAAGTCTCTCCATTCAGATTTGACAGAGAAATCAAAAGTTTTACAGACAAACAAAGCAAAAAGAATTCGACACTATCAAACCAGCTTTGTAACACACTAAAGGAACTTCTTTAAGCAGGAAAGTAAAAAAGGCCACAAGTAGAAACAAGAAAACTATGAATGGAAAAGCTCACTGGTAAAGGCAAACATACAGTAAAGGTAGGAAATCATCTGACACAAATACAGTATCACAGCCAGCGATTGTGAGCAGGGTACAAATGCAGGATACTGGAAATGTATTAGAAATTAAAAGACCAGTAACTTAAGACAATCTTGTTTATATATAGAATGCTATATCAAAACCTCATGATAACCGCAAACCAAACATCTACAATAAATTCACTCACACACACAAAAAGGAATCCAAATACAGTACTAAAAGTCACAAGAGAAAAGAACAAGAGGAAGGGGAGAAAAAAGAAACCTACAAAAAAAAATCCACCACAATTAACAAAATGGCCATAAGAACCATATATATTGATAATTACCTGAAATGTAAATGGATTAAACATTCCAACCAAAAGAAATATATTGGCCGAATGGATTAAAAAAGACAGGACCTTTATATATGCTGTCTACAGGAAACTCATTTCAGATTTAGGGACACATACAGCCTGTAAATGAGGGGATGGGAAAAGATATTCCATGCAAATAGAAATCAAAAGAAAGCTGGAGGAGCAATACTCGTCAGATAAAATAGACTAGAAAGACTGTTACAAGAGACAAAGGACACTACATAATGACGAAGGGATCAATCCAAGGAGATATAACAAGTATAAACGTATATGCACCCAAAATAGTATTTGCCTTATATATTCAGGTGCTCCTAACAGCTATAAAAGTAGAAATTGCCAGTAACAATAATAGTGGGAGATTTTAATAGCCCACTTTCATCAATAGACCAGACAGAAAAAGGGAAACACAGGCCTTAAATGACATATCAGACTAGATGGAGATAATTGATATTTATAGAGCAATCTATTCAAAAGCAGAATACACACTCTTTTTAAGTGCACATGGAGCATTCTCCAGGATTGATCACATTCCGGGCCACAAAGCAAATCTTGTTTAAATTTAGGAAAATGGAAATCATATTAAGCAGCATTTCTGAGCCCAACATTAGAGATTACAAATCTACTACAAGAAAAAGCTTGAAGAAACACAAACACGTGGAGGTTAAACAGTATGCTACTAAAAAATCAATAGATCACTGAAGAAATCAGAGAAAATGAAAGCCACAATGATCCAAAACCTATGGGATGCAGGAAAAGTAGTTCTATGAGGAAGTTTATAGCCATACAATTTTACATCAGGAAACAAACCTAACCTTACAGCTAGAGCAACTAGAGAAAGAACAAACAAAACCCAGTTAGTAGAAATCATAGAAACCAGAGATAAATGAGACAAAGAAAACAATAGAAATATCAGTGGGAAAAAAAGCCGGCTTTCTTATAAAATTGATAAACTTTCAGCCAGATTCACCAAGAAAAAAAGGGATCATCTTGAAATTCTGCCTGGGGCACCTTCCAGCATTAACACTAGAAGGTTGAGTCCAAGCAGAGTGGCAACTCTGCTGTGTTACAGAGGCAGAGACTGAATTACTGAAGCAGATAAAATTACAGGAGAATTCAAGAGAAAAGGGAGTTGGGAGGGAGGCAGAAATTTTCATGAGGTCTCACTAAAACCAAGCAGGACCCTGCAGGGCCTTCCTCGGGAGAGACCCGTGGGTCCTCTGCCTTTTCCAAGGCCTTCTCTGAGTTCCAAAGAACAAATGCAAAAATAAAGGAAAACAGTCAAGCAAGCCAAAATAATAATAGCCATGAAACAAAGTCAAGGATCTTTAATTCCTCTTCAAGTGCTATAGATAATACCTTGAGCTATATTCTTGCTTTGCAGATACTAAAACCATCAGGTGAAGGAAGTTAACTGTCTGCTGACCACCAGCATGCAGACCCCAGACTGATTGGAACTAGAAGGCTGATGATATTAACTCCAAAGTGCCACCTAGTTACCTCACCACTAACCACTAACCAATCAGAAGGATGTCTATGAGGTGATCACACATCCCGAGACCTTCTCCCTCACCCTGCCTTTAAAAAAAAAACTTGAAAAATATATACCTGTGTATGTCTAGCTGAATCACTTTGCTGCACACCTGAAACTAACATATTGTTAATTAACTTTACTACAATGTAAAATAAAAACAACAAAATGTCCAATGATAAAAAATAAATTTGACACTCTTCTATTTAACGACTATGTTTTAAACAGTGTTTCTGTATGTTTGTCGCTACGGCAGCCTTAATCTGAACACGGGCAATAAAGCTTCTTAAAAACCCCTTCACCAAAAGCCATCAAGGAGTTCAGGGATTTTGACCACAATCTGTTTATTCTCCTTGCTTGGCCCCACACTAGGCATCTTGCAATAAACACTGCTTTCCTTCACCACGACCTGGTGTCAGTTGTTTAGCTTTTCTGTGCATCAGAAAAGCAGACCTAAATCTGGTTTGGTTGAGGGCTGGGGTGTGTATATACAGAAAACATTTGCAAGACTTAGCAAATGAATACCTGCTCTGGGACTTAGAATTGAACAGTGATGCTATAAGTTCAATAGTGCTAGGGAATTCCTGAAGTTCCACACCAGCCAAAGTAAAGAAACCTCACTGAACACTTGAGGCATTTAGCTACTACTCTGTGTGACACTTTAGGAGTGAACCCTAGAGCCGAGTTTAATAAAACTTTTCACTAAAGGGCTAGATAATATAGTTAGTTCCCTACATACCAACAGATTCCATTCTGAGAGCATCTTTTTAAGTCCAGTTTGTTCCTAAGTCCAACAAAGTTAGCCTAGATACCCAATTAACAGTATCAGCTATGTAGTACTGTATATAATAGATTTATAATACTTTTCACACAAATAATACATAAAAAATAAAACATTTTTTTAAATGGCAGAGAAGGACATGTACTCATCTCCTCTTGTGAGAGCACCAAAATTACAAATAACTGTTGAAAAACCATTGATAGGAGGACGCTGAAACCCATCACAAAAAGATACCCCATGTCCAAAGACAAGAAGCTGTAGCAAGTTGGTAGGAGGGATGCAATCACAATAAAATTAAATCTCATACCTGCTGGGTGGGTGACCCACAGACTGGAGAACAATAATACCAAAGAAGTCCTTGCACTATTGTGAAGGCTCTGAACCCCA